TTTTGTTTGTTTCATAAAGACTAGTAAGTGTGTGAAGTTTGAAGAAAATCCATGACCATGCGTGCCACACTCCCTATATATAAGAGTTTAAATTGTTACAGAGAACCAGTATTAAAGCTTACATATTATAGAAAGACTTTTCCCTTTGATACGTAGACCACTTATAACAGCATAATGATTTATAAACTCTATAAATACCATTGTACGCGGCAGAATCCAATTTTTAGATAGGTCTTCAATGGTATACCTTGCAAACCGACAATATATTTATAATGGAAGTTTTAAGAAAATGATCATGTTTCCACACATTTCTGGATTTTGTCTTGTATTTCTTTACATTTAATGAATGTTTCTTAGTTTCAGGAAAACACTTCAATATTAACGTCGTCGGTGTGCATTGCTAATATAACTGTACTATTCACCACCGGACATATAACAACAGACAATCAAACGATTATGTAACGCGTTTCTGTCGAAAATAGTTTATAAACCTCGCCAAATTTCTTAAGGTCGTCTTGTTTTATTTTCTTCATCCCGATAAAAATAATCTTCCCATTCGTATAATATGTATAAAATTTAGAACATTTTTATCAGAAGAAACACGTAAGTTTGATCATTACACATTACAGCTCATTGAACTATTTGTTCCTAAAACAGTATTATTGTAGAAAGTAGAAAACATTGTCAACCGAGGCGAAGTAAAGGTTGACAATGGTTATTCGAGGGGTAACAATCTGCTATATTACCATCTCAGCTATGTGTTATTTAATTTATTATACTGAATGCCATTATTGTCTTTCCAAAATTTTGAATTGAAAGTAATTAAATTAAAAAAAAATTAAATTGAATTAGAAAAACAACAAAAGTAAAGCAAGAAGTATCTTTTATTTTAGCAGTCTAAAAAAAAGTTATGAGGCAAACACGTAGAACTTAAACCTTGTCTCTTTAACGTGAAGTATAATAATATTTATTATTATACTTCATGTCAAAATGCCGGATTTTGATTGGTTAATACGAGGGAAACAATTTACTCTATTCCATGGCAAATACTCTGTTACCCTTCACGGAGACGCTTGATCAAGTGTGCGCTTTATTAAATACGGATGGTTGTTATGTACAAGACGTCATAGTTTATTACTATGAATTTGAAATTTAGTAGACAGTAATAACAGAACATTCAGTATAATAAATTAAATAACACATATCTGAGAGGGTGAAAGAGCAGATTGTCACCCCTCGAAAAGAAAAGGTCAACCTTGGCTTCGCCTCAGTTGACAATGTTTTCTCGGGGTAACAATCTGCTCTATCATCCTCTCAGCTATGTGTTATTTATATATTGTTCCATTGCATTCAATACAAACTTAATGCTTTGTGTCAAATCAGTGTCCAGTTTGATGGTCAATTAAATTTGTGTACACGTGGTGTAAAAAGAAATGCAAATTACATGTAACTGTTGTAGATATACAGGATGTACTTATATTTTATAGGCAAACTTTTTAAGATAAGGAATTAAAAAAAAAATCTTGATATATCAAGTATAAAAATATTTGTATTCTTTATCATTTTCATATAGTTTACGACTTATATAAAAATATGGATATGTGGTATGATTGCCAATGAGACAACTATCCACCAAAGATCAAATGAAGTGGATGTTAGTAGTTAAAGGCAACAGTACGGCCTTCAACAATGAGAAAAACCCATACCGTATGGTCGGCTATAAAAGGTCATGACATAAAAAATATGAAACAATTCAATTGAGAAAACTAACAGCCTAATTAACAACAATACAGTTTACGAAAAACAAATATGACAGACATGAACCAACGACAACTACTGAACTACAGGCTCCTGACTTGGGACAGGCACATAAAGAATGTGGCGGGGTTAAACATGTTTTTGAGCGCTCAACTCTTCCCTAACCTGGAACAGTGGTGTAACAGTACAACAAAACACAAAGTGGACGTGGATAGGTACTTACACCTTCCAAAATAAAAAAGACGCTAAGTACAGATCTGAGAGTACTTGCAGTTACTGGCAGCTAGTTCAAAGCCAATAACAACTAATGAAAACAATCATGTATCTAAGAATAAAATATCAATCAGTGCACATCCAACATCCAATGGATTTAGTGTAAAGACGTCATTAACAGTCAGAGAAAAACATGCCCTTGTGCAATGCCAAACTATAGGTATCGACAGATTGTAGTACCGTGAAAGTACACATGTGTAATATTTAGTATGGTTTTAATTTACTGTACATTTAAAGTATAGAAGGAGGACAGAAAAAGCAAATCATAACTATAATTCTTAATCGACAAATACAATTAATTTTGTAATTCCTTAAATTATTTTAACTTCTAAGTTACCATTCCTTCCCTTATACACTATACACAAGCATTGTAACATAATAAAAGTTTACGCAGACAAAATTGTAACAGGTAAAGAAGAAAAGGTGAGGCAATGATAATTTTATCCATTTGAATTGCTAAAATGTCAACTACAATGACCAGTCCACTTCAAAAGAAAATGACGGATTTTTTAAGATAATTTCTTGCATTAACGACCGCCGTGTTCATTGCTTTACTGCGTTGTTATTGTTTGCGTTGTTGTTGCGCGTAATTATTCCAAGCCGTACACAAATCCAGCATCAGCCGTTTTAGCAAGTTTGCATCTTCATCCGTTGTCGCGTTACGTCCTTTAGAAATATGTCAATGGTAAAACACTATTTAAGAGAAAGTAACCAGAGAAATATCAAAAGGGCTTAACATCCGCATGAATGAAAATGAAGAATAAAAAAGCTCTCTTTTTCAGAAATAATGGAGCGTTGGAACAAAAGATTTAGGTCACAGGTGTATTTTAGGTAGATGAGTCTTGCATGCTAAATTAATGCCTGTTATTAATGTTGAATTACTGCAACAACTGAGTAAACAGAGAGAAAACCATTTCTGTGGCTTCGTTTAAAAATAGACTATCGTATATCAAAAATACATTTGCATAAAACACTAACTGGATTCTCATAAATAGTGCATATTTCAGGTTAATTTCATCTGAGGACTTTATCACACATTAACGAGAGTGCTCCTCTTCTTGCCGATTTGTTCTTTTATTCATATGAAGCTGATTTCATACAGGAGCTTCTCAGGAAGAACGAAAAGAAGATAGCATTGTCCTTTAACTTCAATTTCCGCTATATAGATGATGTCCTGTCACTAAATAATTCAAGTTTGGTGACTATGTTTAACGCATCTATCCTATCTAACTTGAAATAAGGGATAAACCGGTTACAATTAATTTAGTCTGCCTCATATCTTGACTTACATCTCGAAATTGATAATGAGGGTCGGTTGAGAAAAGAAATTTACGACGCAAGATATGATTACAGCTTCTCAAGTGTACATATTTCCCAGTTGATGCGGTATTCCAGGGCTTACTGCTCACAATGAAGTTATTAAACCAAGAGTTCTAAGTGGTGAAGTTGAAATCGTCCGTTCGAAAATTTTACGGACGCCATCACGAGTTGGTTCACCGTTATGGAATATCTGTTTCACAAATGACGACGGATATTTTCCAATCGTCTTAACCACTATCCCGTCCTCTTTTTCTCCGAATTAGACTCATCACCGGGTTTGTACTTACATGAGCAACACGACGGCAGCCTATGAAGATCAGGTTCTGCCTACCCTTCCGGAGCACCTGAGATCACCCCCGGTTTTGGATGGGGTTCGTGTTGCTTAGTCTTTATTTTTCTATCTTGTGTTTTGTATACTGTTGTTTGTCTTTTGGTCTTTTTCTTGTTTTTTATGGCGTTGTCAGTTTATTTTCGACTTATGAGTTTGAATGTCCCTTTGGTATTTTCACCTCTCTTTCGAAGAGTGTTGTGTTTATTTTTTAAACGATCATATTTAACCAAGTGCTGTAATTACCTTAGCTAGTTTCGTAAAGGAGCTAGCATATTTTGATCCTACTCTCCAAATGTGCCGTACCTTATTTCCTTGATTAGTGATCATCCGATGTGCTGTGTGTAGGACCTTTATTTTTATGGAATGTTTTATCCTTACGACACGTGGTTTTGATCGGCCATTAAGATGGGATAACTCCATCACATTAAATACCTGTTCGAAGTCAGCTGGCTCTCTGGATCATATGTTGATGGTTGTTTACCTTTGTTTCGAAGTTTATTTTTTCGGATGAGTCCAGCGTAAGCGTTTAGTGTGATCTTATGTACTGTCATCTAAGTAATGTAATCATTGTTGTCCTTTTTATAAATTACATGGTAGGAAAATGTAATTAGCTCTATTTCAAATAAATCCTGCACTACCAGAATTAAACGAATGTTTTATTGGAACGTTTTTAACATGTTTAAGGGTAAATGACATTTTTGTACGGATATACATTTCTGGATATGATAAGGAACCGCCTTCAAACTTTTTTAAAAAGATCAATTACAATACCTACAACTAATCGTATCCTTACTTTATTAAGTTAATATTGTTTCGTTTTGTACTCATAAAGTGAAATTTAAGTTCTTTGTGTTTTACCTTCAAACATGATAAGGAGATGTGGTGTGATTGTCAGTTAGACAATTCTTCGAAAGACCAAAAGACAACGATTTAAACAATTTCAAGTCACCGAAAGGCTTCTAAACTTGAGCAAACCTAATACTGTATAGGTCGCTATAAAAGGCATTGAGATTACAAAATGTGTTATGATTCAAACGAGAAAATTGACGGGCTGAACTAGACTACAACTTGAATATCTAAAAAGAGCGCTCAAACCTTCCATAACTAGAACTGTGGTATACAAAAACAATACGCAAAATGTAATCGCCAATTTGAAAACGAAAAGACACAAGTACCGATATAAGATTACTTGCCCTTTGGATACTTTGATAACAATAAATGTTTCACTATTCATGAAATTCGTTTTTCCGAAATGATTGAATATAGTAGTCAAATTGTTTTATATTAGCGATAATATCTTAAGCCTAATCGCAGTATATCCTATATACACAAAAAGGTTTATTAAATCAAAACAAGTGTGAGGCAACAAATTTGAAACATGACATTGTTTAATATATAAAAAGAGGGAAAAGTCTCTAGAAGAAAAAAAAACAATGCTTTTGAAAAACGTGATAGTATGCTCTAAAACGATCCCTGCAACAATTTCCCTAATGCCTTCTTGTAAGCATTATCTCCTCTATAAAAATACAAGCATTGCAATGATCTTAGTCCCATTGGAAGATTGATGAACTGTTCTAAATATACCGGTACTATGAGTGATTTTCTTGAATATAGACAGTCGGAAAGGTTTGACATATTTGATACATCCGGCCATGCTTTACAGACAAAATTGTTTGACAGCAGAAGAAATACTATTTTTGAGGATTGAACTGCTCTATCTACAGTGTCTAGAAAATTTTTGTCAACTCCTTCCTCAAAGATAAATTCACCGACATGAATATTATTCTTTTCACTTGGGACTTCCAGAATGTTTTCTTTAAATGTCCTTACAGTACAGGCGTCTGTTGTATATGCTAGAAGAATTATATTGGAATCTAAAAAATATTTTTGAACAAAATATAGCATTTTAGAAATATATGATAGAATTTTGCGTATCAAACAATTGGAATAATGTTAAGACATCAATATTCAGTATAATGCTTTGGTATCATGATGATCAAAACAACTCGTAATACATAATAAATGGTGTCAAAGTTCATTGAATCCTTCACTGAAAATAAGCACACACTTTATATTACTAAACTCACAATACGAAATATTCGCAGTTAGATGTTGTTCATGTAGCATTGTTTTTCGCTCAATGAAGCTCTTCCATTTTGTTCGGTACTCAAAACATAAATATAAAATATGTGACGTTTATGTTGCACCATATTTACAATGTCCTGTTTTTTTTTTGGTGTCAATAACGCTATATGTATTGACCAGTTGACTATCAGTAGCCTACTTAGCCATGAATATAAACGCTGTACGTGACTTTAAGTTTCCCATTTTTCGCTTTGAGAGTTTTGTATGAAGGTATATTCATAATTACACATACGGTGACCAACTTTGTTTACTTCTATGTCATTTGGTCTCTGGTGGAGAGTTGTCTCATTGGCAATTATACAACATCTTCTCATTTCTATACCTAATTTCCTTATTATATACCAATAACGTTACAGAAGACTGGGTAAGCTACCGAAATCCGTTAAGTGAGTTGTTCTAGAAAAGAAACACACTTAATGGGATACTATAAAGCTAATGCTAAAGCGTGTACATACCTGGCATTTCAGAGGTTACGTCTAGTGTTATTGGTTCACTATATGTTGTACCAGCGATATTTGTTGCTTCACAAACATAATGCCCACTGTCTGACATTTGTACATTTCGAATTGTAAATGAAGGTTTAATGCTCCCTTCCATTGTTTCATTTTCTGTTTTCTTTAAAACGTTCCATCTGTTTTTAGTATATCCTTCTCCTTTTGACCAGATGATATGTTTAACCGCAGGGTCTGCTTGTATTCTACATTCTAATGATATGTTTTGTCCAGTTGAACAGGATATTGCGGATTTTTCAATCAAAACTCTTGGCTTACCTAATTGACAAGCAACATATGATTTTGAAATTTATTCATATAGCATAATGTACTATTATATTATTTATTTATGTATGTCTCTGTCCTGAGTGTTCTTGCGTTTAGTTGTAATGTATTCCTGTCACGTAATTTGTCATTTTAGCGGTATTTTCAACATTGCCATATAAGCGGGAGGTTTGGCTAGCCATAAAACCAGGTTCAACACACCATTTTTTTCTTAAAATGTCCTGTAGGCTGAACCAAGTCAGGAATATGGCAGTTGTTATCAAATAGTACGTTTCTATGTATGTTGGTGTTTGTTTTTGTAGCAGTTGAGTTGTTATGTTGTTCCTTTGTTTTCCTCTTATAGTTGATGTGTTTCCCTCGGTTTTGGTTTGTGACCCGGATTTGTTTCAGTTAAATCGATTTATGACTATTGAAGTAAAACAACAAAAATACCGACCTCCAAGGAAAGTTCAAAACGGAAAGTCCCTTAACAGTTGGCAAAAAACTCAAACACATCAAACGGATGGAAAACAACTGTCATATTCCTGACTTGGTACAGGCATTTTCTTATGTAGAAAATGGTGGATTAAACAGCGGATTACAACTGTTGCCTTTATTTATCCATTTCAAACATTTTTAGCACACTGGCAAGCTCTATTTGTAAGGAAGCTTGACAATCTGAACATCAGCAACATATATAGCAATATAGTTAGGAACAAGATAGATGTTTGTATATGTAGAATTCAAAGAGATACTTTAGACATGCATTTATAATACTATTTTGTGTTCGTAATTATTTGTTGTAACATGTTAATATGAAATTTGTATCCATAATCTCATTCAAATATATTTATGTTGTTAAAAAGATCAAGCTTGTAAACATAAACAAACTTTTGACGAATTTATCATTATATTTTTGAAATAACATATCGCAAGATGATAAAGCCTGCATTTGCATTTTTTTTAAATTGAAAGCAAGCGTTGATATCAATCTCTATACAGTTGTCAGTAGTTATGAAACCTTTTTTTCTTAAGGTAATTTCTCCATGTTCTCTTTGTGTGGACTGTTTTTTTAATGTTATTGTTACGTTTAACCCCTCTATGACTTTGAAAGAAAATGCTATCCATTTAGTTATATATATGTGAATTGCGTGTGGAGATTTGCTACATAAATTAACATCATATAAAATAAGGAGATGTGGTATGATTGTCGATGAGACAACTATCCACTAAAGTTCATATGCCCCGACATGAAAAATATGAAACAATTCAATTGAGAAAACAAACGGCCTAATTTATAACAAAACAATTTAAGAAAAACAAATATGACAGACATGAACCAATGACAAAACACTGAACCACAGGTTCCTAACTTGGGACAGGCATATAAAAAAATGTGGCGGGGTTAAACATGTTTGTGAGAGCTCAACCCTTCCCCTAGCCTTGGACAGTGGTGTTACAGCACACAACATAAGAACAAACTATAAAAACCATTTGAAAAAGGCTTATTTCATCAGATCTATACAAAACAGAAAAACATCTCACAGTTCGGAAGTGACAGGGTATTTATACATCCCTAGCAACAAAACGACACAAAGTACAGATCATATACATTTTTTACCATTCAACTGATTTCTTTCCTTTTAAAACGATAGGTAAATTAAAATTTTTATTATTATCAGTATTGTCAAACTGTGTTATTCGAAGTATCTGTACAAATACATATTGTTTTATATATATATTTAGCGAGATAATTGCTACGGAAGATGGTTAAATTTATTTTTTAATTAACGTATTTCTGCATATCGAAAAACTCATCTGCCACGAATTTGGTGTTGTCTTAAATATGATAAAATGAGAGTCGAGTACCAATCTGCTATTGTGTGATGTCTAATCAACTGATATGATTTATCCACATCTTTTATAGGAGTGACAAGACGGGTGTCATATGTTGAACATGATCTGCTTACCCTTCCGGAGCACCAGAGATCACTCATGTTTTTGTTAGGTGGGGTTCGTGTTGCTCAGTCGTTAGATTTCTATCAGCTGTTTTGTGTACTGTTCTTTGTCTTTTTTGGGGGCTTTTTTTTGCCATGGTATTGTCAGTTTGTAATGAATTTGAATATTCCTTTGGTATCTATTGTCTCTTATTTAATGTGTTTTATTGAGAGAAAGAGAGAAAATTGAGAAACTTGTTCGCTTAGAAATGTTGAAATTATAAAGAAACTAAGGTTTCAACTCCCTCAGGCAAAGTTGACCACAGATGGAGTTGGCTATTTTTTTAGGTACTATTTGGTTATATAGCTCTTCAATTGTTTCGGTTTTTATACATTTTTGGCTTTCAAAAATTCAGCTTTGATCGACCCTGATGGAGGTAAATCCAGAGAAACGCTTTGGACGCGTTGAATGTATAACGTGTTGTTTTCATTTCTCACTTCTTTATCTATTTATACATCCTTGGCTTTCAAATATTTGACTTTAAGTATTCTTGACGCATTACATTAACAAAGTGTTATTTTCATTTTTTAGAACATTTATAATGTTAGCTCTTTTCTATATTGTTGTCTGTTTTCATTGTTCATATTCATCATTTCTGTTTCTTCCGACGTTAACTAATAATATAAGCGCATTGGACGTGCCACGTGTCATTTACTGTAAAATAAAATTTATCTGATCAAAATTACTCACAGAAGACTTTTAATTGGCATTCATCACTTAAACCCTCTCCGACACTGTTCGTAGCTTTACATATATAGCTTCCTTCATCGTCTTTGCCTATATTAATAATGCTTAGGGCTGGATGTCGTGTGTTTCCTCCTGTATAACGTTTACTCGTCTGTAGCAACTCAACTAATTGTCCATCGATTATTCTATACCATTGCAAACTATCAATGTCTGGTTTGGCGTCTATATTACAATCTATATTGACCAATTGACCATCACAAGCATTCGTTTCTAATTGGACTATTACAACTGGTTTGTCTAAATATATAATAGTAGTTCAGTTTTCTGTTTCTCAATTTTTCTTTGGCAATGGGATAATATTTCATCGATTTGTGGGCTATTGATTGGCCTATTGTTATCGTCCTCTCCCCTTTCAAACTAATTGATGTAGATTACCTACCTGTTATCAATTTTCTTGTTTTATTTTCAAATGGATTTTAATTATAAATAAATTTGTGTTTTTTTTTTATTGATATGTGTATTATGTAAGGTCCTGTGTTACGTTACCAGGCAAGCTTTGTTTCTTGTCCATATTATGATCATTATTATCATATTTACTATATATATAATTATGTCTGACACTATGATTAAAATAATCGTTTTAGCATATTCTAACTCTGGAGAATATCTAAGCTTTGCAAATAATATGCATATTTACTTGGACAGCCACATAAAATAAATGTATACGTGTGCCATATTTTTATTTTTTAAGTACGTTAAAAAATAAAAATATGGCACACGTATACATTTATTTTTTAACGTACTTATAAAATCACAACAGAAAGTCAAATGTAACAACGGTTTCAATCAAACATGTATTTCTCACGACCCCGCTTATGTTCTGTTCAAGTTAAGCAGTTTTCAAAGTTATTAAGGCTGGGAAAAAAGCTCACTTCAAAACTGCGACTGTCAATTATCTTAGTAAATTTTGACTTCAGTGTCTATACGTTGCACACCAATAACAAACTGCAATTACAGCGCTATGAAATATTTAGAAGCACTTTGCTTTTATTTTTAATAGGGAAAAAAGAATAAAAGTCAAATGCCATTCAATTTCTCATAGTACGAAGTAAAAGATAGGTGTGGGTTTCATTCAGGGATATGCTATCCTTATATCATTAAATATTTATCCCCAAGGGTGACTGGGGAATAGAAGTATGGTCACTATTGGTCTTCCTCCGACCAGCAGTAAAACCCTTGCTAAAGTGGGGCGTCCGTTTGGCTGTGCGGGATGTACAAATTTGCAGCCACGTCCGGTCAGAATGGGGACGTTAAATCCGATGCCTCGTGTAAAGAGAGTGCCACGCTCTTTGCACGTTAAGAACCCTTGCAACAACTCTTTGAGGGGTCCGTAGGTGACCTGTTGCAAGGCTAAATTTCTGTCCCTATCCAATATACCCTCATTTCCCGTGGCAGTCTAAATTTCTCCGACCTTAATCCCCGACGCCCCTATAACAGAACCTACCTATTGTGTTTATTGTTAATTTGTTCTCGTCCTGAATATGCATGAAATATTTGCCACTGGACGTTAAGCAACCAACAACCAATCAATCAATCATTAAATATTTAACACAAAGAAATATATTCAAAGCATACGAATCGTTTGGCTTTAAAAGAAAGACAAAAGTAAATAAAGACAAGTAATAGCACATTGTCTAATACAGACTAACAATTACATACTGCTTTGGTATATTGATTGATTCATTGGTGCCTAACGCCACTTTCAACACTATTGTGCTATTTCGTGGCGGTCAGTTTGTATTGGTGGAGGAAGCTGGAGTACCTATAGAGAACCACCGACCTCAGGTAGGAAAACTGAAAATCCTAGTCAATTAAAATTGGAGTCGAGTATACCTGCCCCATGCGGGATTCGAACTCACAACTTCAGTGTTGACATTGTTCGACTACTTAGACCAATCGGCCATCGAGGCCCCTTGATATATTGACTTAACCAATTCAAGTCAAATGCAACAGTAATGAAAACAATTAATTTGTTACTTACATAGAACCTGCAGGAAGCACTTTCCACTGGAAGTTGTTCCAACCGAATTTGACGCGCGACACATGTAACATCCGGTGTCCATTTTGTCAGCGTGCAGTATGGTCAATTCGGCGATGCTCAAATTTCCACCATGATAGTTCATCCCATTAACATCTATAGCTCTTTCTTTTCCGTCAACTTCTTTATACCAAACTAAAGACTGGACATGAGGTTCTGACTTTAATATACAGGTAAGTGTTACAGACTGATCCTCGCATGCTTCAATGTTCAATGGTATAGAAATCACAGGTGGAGCTGAAAGGAAATAAAAGGATTTATAAGTTATCATTTGATGTTGTTTTCTTAATTCAAGTTGAACAATATTCTCATGAATTAAATTATCAATTAAATAAAGGTCGACCGGCATGAATTGAGGGATTTTGGACTGAATTTCAAAAAAGAGTGATTGCAAGATAGGTTTACAAATGTTGCTTTAAACGTACTTATCTCTTATAAATCTGTTGTTACAAGATTTTGTAACAAACAAAGAGCGCATCTTTTACGAACTTCTACACCCCGTAAAATCAATAGGATACAGTTTCGACATGGATTTAACAGTCGGGAGTAAGCATATATTCTATTCCATGGGCTAATGTTAAAAGACGACACCATGCTTTGTAAGATACGGACACGCTGAGTTAGATGTAATATGTATTCTCTTATATGTAATCTTATAATCAATAATTTGGATAGTTTAAGGAAGTGCATCACCTCAAAATTTAAGAAGAAAAAACCAGAAAGCCTCGAAAGAAGTAATAGATAAATTCTTTACTTAAAACTTTTGAGAAACAAGTATCAACAAACTTGTTGTCAAATATAGGCAGGCGCGTAGCTCCCTATAAGCCAACACGCAGTTGCGTGCACATCGGCATGCTGAAAAAAGTGCACATAAAATTTCCGGCGTTGAACACGACATGACGTCGAAACGTAGCGGAAAAGGTGAAAAGGCTAAATGGAAAACTATTGACAGTTTTTTTTTAACTAAACCCCTTTCAATAGAAACGAAAAGTTCTTCAGAAGAACCCATTTGCCATCAATCCTTGCCAGAGTCTGAGAGAATAAATCATGACCTTGAAAATGCAACTGCAAGCTCCAGCTCAGTTTCGACCGTCACCTCCAAAGCCAACACCCCTTCGTACCGGACATGTCAAGTCTGCACGATTTCAATTTGCAGATGACAGAAGTTAAGATGCAATTACTAACATCCAACTGGAAAGATGTAAATAATTTTGACTTCCCGGCGAGCTATGTTGATTTTAATTCTTCCAAGCCACTTTAAGTGTGTAAAACGTTTCCCAAAATCATGGAATAGCATATGCCAGGGGTAATTCTTTGGATTTGATGGGGTATGTGGAAATGACTTTAAAATTGTGTCCAATTCAATAGTAGAAATCATGTCTGAGTCAAAAGTATACCGGTAAAAAAATAAATAGTGTTTATGAAAATCCATACCCTGAAAAACAGTCAATTTGGAAAAGCACAGACCCAAATTATTACTATACTATCGATTGTCTAAATTACAACGTATGAACCCGAATTTATCGTAGTTCTTCATACCCCGGTTAAAAAAACCTCATCGTCTGATTTCCAGCAAACCGTAATTTAAACCCTCAAAAGGGCGGTGGGGGGTATGTTGACTAACTTTATGCAGATATCATCAGAAAATCGCTTCTCTGCGCAGTATCTGCTTCCTCGTGTTGTTGGAAATATAACCAACGAACAAATCGCAACATTGTTTGAGACATACGACTGAGACTGACCTGGCATGTAATTTAGACGAATTCAATCGGGAGGTCGCTCGATGGCAAACACCCTGGTGTATAACACCTCGCGATCAGATGCCAACTTCGCTGTGTGAGACACTCGATGCGGTAAGAGGGTATGAATGCCCTTTACCGTCAGGCGTCAAACGGTCATTTTCGGCTACCGTTAGCGTCAAATTGGTTAAAATTTTACCGTGATTCGTCAACATATCCTTATCGTGATTCGTCAGAGCTTTCAAATAATTATCGTTACCGTTATTTTTGGAAAAAACATTAACGTGATTCGTCAAAATCTGTCGATTTTTTTATCGTCGTGAAGAAAGTCTTCATTTCATCGTCATGCACCAAAAATTACCGTTAACGTCATTTGGCAAGATTTTTTACCGTTATTCGTCATGAAGGTACCACCATTACCACCCTCCGGTAAGCCCAGTGTTGTATCCTTAAGTATTTTGAGTATTATGTTGACAATGCTGTTGACAAGTGCTACCGCGGAGAGATCGTTCAGTGTACTACGTCGGTTGAAAACACATGTACGATCAACCATGAATAACGATAGGTCATCATCGCTAGCATTAATTGCATATTCATCCGGATTTCAGTGTCAATATTGACATAGCAATGGAGAAGTTCGTTTCTGCTAAGAAACGAAGAGCAGATTTTGGACAATTTTGAGTAAATTCTGTCTCACAAAAATGTGTTGCTTATGTATTCAAATTACCATGATTTACCTTATTCAAAAGAATTCTGAATAGTTTTGCATTCATGAATTGTCTATAAGTCCTATGTAGCACAACTTTTAACCCCCCTATGACCGAAAACCAAAAAAATATCATTTTCTGCATAAAATGTTCCAATAAATTTTCGCCTCGATCCGCTCGGCGGTAGAACGGCGTGCACATCATTTTATTCTAGCTATGCCCCTGATAGGTTCTAATTTAATTTACCTCCTTTGACCTCTAATTGTATATCCTTGCTACGTTCTTTTCCGGCTACATTTTCTGCTTCGACGAAATATACACCACTGTCGTTTACTTTTGCATTAACAATAGTGAGAGATGGCTGTTCAACTGTACCACCGTCGTATCTTTCTGATGAAGAAACCTTATTTGATTTGTAATTTTCTGATTTATACCAGGTGACTTTTGTAATGGAGGGCTCACTAATAATATCACAACTCAATTTTACACTTGTACCAGCTTCGGTTGAAATTTGTCCTTCATGAATATTCAACTGAGGTGTGTCTATAAATATTGTAAATTAGAACGTTATTTTGTTTTTAAATTCATTTGCAGAAAATTCTCGTTTTACAATTCCATCATTTGTTTGGTACATCCAGGGTAAATAATAACATGACATTGTTTTTATTTTTATAAAATTTACAACTGTCCTGTTACATAATATCATATTTTATGTGTTAACCTTTTGATACTGATACTTCAAAGAAAAGTAAACCATAACGTTAAATAATCCCACAACGACTAAAACCATCAAATGAAATACTGTACAACATATGCAAACATTAAAAGGACACAGAACAACGACGGAATGTAATAGAAATGAAAGACACTTGGAAATATCAATTAGACTGAAGCTCCCTGACACAATAACCAACATATCAATACAGTTTGTTGAGCTATTTTTGAAACCTGGCTGAAGAAAAAAAACCATAATAAAATGTGTTTTGGTTGAAGGGGCATTAGCTACGAGATATAAAAAAAAATAAAATATGATATTGTTTGTTCAATCATCAATGAAAGTAAAATAATGAAAAAATAATTCGCCTTAAGCAGCCAGTTTGGTTCACTTTTGTCAAAATAAGCTAAGAAACATAGCTGATGAATTATGCACTTGCAAGTGAATAATTCGACCTCATTGAATCCGTATTTATGTGACCTTCTATTTAACCCCTTAGCTAGAGATGGGTTACGCATGAATTAGGCGTGTTCAGTTATTAAAAGGAAAAGAATGTCAACATTGAAAGTGAAACAAGGGTAAACCATTCAGTTGACGGATACGATCCACAAAAAAATCATTCTTATACAGGTAAAAACGATGATTAACATATTTGTCAACCCATAATATGAAATCAAGCAGACCTAGAAAAATCCAATTGCTATATATTTATGTTTATATCGGGTTATATGACCGTCTTCGGAGGTCACCTTGATGGTTAATTAGATGGCGTCTAAACTAAAATATTACGAAATGCTGAAACATATTATCGAGTCCATACATCGTAAATCGTTTTTTTTTAGACTTTTTTATAATTTGGATATACGTTTTAGTATGTTATAAATCAAATATGAGAATTTTAGTCAAATCGGTGAACATGAATTTAACAGCTAATGCCCCTTCAAGTATATGCAATAACTAGAACATACAGAAAAATTGCCTTGAATATATCCCTTTTAATAAATTTAAAAAACCAAATATGTCGTCAACGCAATATATACATGCACAACGAAAAAGTCTAATAATTATAAAATTACTTAAATATCGAGGTCTGTGTAATAATTCCACAAAAAATAAATCGTCCGGAACGAACTTCTACTCACCATTATATATAAATCAGCTAGATGTGAACAGCCATAACGCAGTAAATTCGAACATTCGTTATTTTGGAAAGGTGTGAAGAAGAAAGAATGTAAACTGATAACAATGGCACACTAACGTTTTTTTTTCCATTTGATAGGTTAATGACATGGAAATAGCAACATCATAAGTATTTGGCGAACATGTTTGAGTTACTCACCAAATATAACCGTAAAAGAAATATGTTCACTGCTTATTGTTCCAAACCGATTGCTTGCTTTACAAGTGTATCTCCCTTCGTCTAATTTGGAAACGGCTGTAATGGTCAAATGCGGCGAATCAAGATTTCCGCCGATATAGTGTTTACAATCCAACATAAGTGCACAGTCATCTTTAAACCAATTCAGAGATGTTATGTCTGATTTAAGATGACACATAATGGTGATTGATTTTCTTGACAGCACTGAAGAGGCTGTAGAAAGCTTGATCTCAGGTGTTTCTATAACATAGAGGTATGTTTTTGAATAATGGTTATTAAGTCTGATTTCAGTTGAAAGCTATCAGTCATTTATAACAAAACAATTAAATAATGGTATTGAACTGCAGAAATTATGTAAAACCATAATAATGTGGTATAAATATATGATAGACACCTTTTGAATAATTACAAATTGTTAATCTCATTTTAAATCAAAAACGTCAAATTATGGACTTAGGAGGTTTGTCTTATACTATAACTTACAGTATCACTGTTACTAGTCTACATCAAAATAGATATTGAATCATTAATGGACACGAACAAAATTTAACCCCGGCATATATAAATATGGTTGTTAATGTCAAATGTCTGATTTTTTGTGGGATATTAGGGGCTCTTTATAAGTTTGTGTTTTTATAAAAAATTTTGCAGTTCCATGTAAATCATGTAAACAAACTTATTTTTGCGAATCGAGTAGATTGTTTTCGTGAGCAATAGAGAATCGCGAAAAAAAATCGTCGCTAATTAGTCGCTAATTAGACTTTAAAAATGAGTAGACATGTATCTAATGCAAGGGTTCATTCAACATATGCCAACATTTTGAAATATAGGTATAAAACTGTATGACAAAATGTTGGCATATGTTGAATATATACTATGGCATTTGTTACTCTAGATGTATAAATGACAACGTGTTTACTTACAGGAAAAATCGTAATGAAAACACAGATGGCATGATGTAAGCGAATATATTAGGCCATATAATTGTGAGGTAAATCATACCCTGTAGGTGTGTACATAATCGGCTTCTTATTGATTGACGATCATTCATCTTCTTACCCAACCGTTAAAGATTACACTTGTTTGATTTTTCACCTTTCAACTGCTTAAATAACCTAACTAGCGCATAGACACTGGCTTTATGTGTGACATTTTAACAGGATCAGCGACTTGTTGAAGCTGTATTTAATTAAACCAAAGCATTGTCTAAATTTACAACTCGTATCTTTGTATTTATAATATTGCTGACAAACATCTTTTACGTGACCGTCAAATGATACGACACAACAATTTTGTGCGTGAATTCAGTTCCCATTCGATTACATTGAAGTCATTGACAATAGAGGTGAAGATTCTGTATGGTTAATATAAAATACACGTTAGGGAGAATGTTAATCGCGAGAGTAAATCTCAACAAAACTGACTTGACAATCGTGAAACGCGAAAAAAATTGTATACAAAAATAAATAGGTTTACAATGTATATTCCTAAATTATCTAAATTTTCGGAAAGATTTACATATGGTAAAGACACTTGTCTATTATTGAATTACTTATGTTGAACTCTTGATGTCTTTGCTTGTTTCTTTTTTTTCTGAGGAATAAGTTCATTGCCCACATCTATGTTTATTCATATCACTCTCTTTCATACACTTAGGTGATAAGTTTACACATTAAACAAGGTTTACCTCCTTCAACTGTCACTGTGTCACTCCAACTATCCCCAAAGTCGTTTTGCGCATACATAACATAAGAACCTGTATCATTGCAGCCAATATTTGTTATGGTTAGTGACGGGACGTTGACTGTTCCCCCTGAATACTTTAACAATTCTGATATAAGTGTTTTCTCTTCCCCGATCAATCTATACCACTCTACTCTTTTGGGTTTTGGATGGCATTTGATTTCACATCTTAGTGTAACGAATCCAGCAGCTTTAACGGTATATTTTGATGCCGAAAGTAATATAACTGGTTTAACTGAAAATAAATATTGACTACAAGTAAATTGATCATTAGAATATTTATGTTTGTGTGTTCAATATCGAGAAGATATGTTTTTGGACATCTGCGACCCGGTAAATACATCAATGAAAAGTTGTGATGTCATAAAATTTATAGGCCAGGTTTAATACAGCAATTTCTTTTTCATAAACATTTTTGGTAAGTAAACAAAGGTCAAAAGTGTCTGGCTAAATTTTATTTAAACGTTTTTGGAAATTAAGCTTATTTGGCCTTCATTCATGATTTTTTGGCATTGTTTGGGCTCAAAATTGTCTCTGTGTATGTGTGAGATAAAAAAATGGAAACAACACATTATCAATCTCATGAGTCCGAAGCGATTCTCTTGATCCTACCCATCAAGAACGCTCATTAACTACTAAGATAATGTATAATTTAAAAAAATACCGAAATAACTATTACTTCATCACTGTAAAAACCATGACGAAGAACTTTGTAACATGAAAATATAAACTTTAAAGAACATAAATTCAAAATTTAAATGAGTACATTGTCAAATGTATTTGATTGTATAAAGTTATACTTTATGAGACTTCGAAATCCAACCAACTTAAAACAAGGATTATATGACATTTGTATAAAAGAGAGGCGAAGGATATCAAAGGAACATTCAATCTCATAGGTCGAAAATAAACTGACAAAGCCATGACTAAAAAAGAAACAGACAAACAACAGTACACAAAACACAACATAGAAAACCACAGACTGAGAAACACGAACCCCACCAAAACAAGGGGTGATCTCAGGTACTCAAGAAGGGTAAGTAGTTCCTGCTCTACATGTGACACCTGTCGTGTTTATAAGTTATATTTCAAATGATTTTATCTAGAAAAAAAGATTCTGTTGAAATTTCAATACATAATTATCGCGTATATTAATCAATGTTTCCTACAGAGCTGTGATATATAGAAACCTTTTTTCGAGCAATTTGTTTTTTTATTAAGCCATAGTACAGAGACTACTCATGGTTATTAAAACAAATAGTACTTGTGAAGATATTTTAAGCACTCGTGACCTTAACCTTTCACCTACTGGCCTTAAAATTGATAAACTTTCTCCCTTGTACTACAGTCAACCACTTATTCAAGTTTTTTTTTTTAAACAACCAAGTGCCCATAATTTTACAATTTGTTTCGTCTATTATAAGCAGCTGTGACCTTGAATTTTAATTTTCGATTGGTTTTCGCCTATCTTTTATCTTTCATCGATATACCTTGTTAACTTCCAAAGAAACATTATCCGGAAATAAGTTGTTCGGCCAAAAATATATTTTAGTATTTATTATATATAAAATATTTGATCATTGTTTTTAAGATTATAAACATCGTGAAAGTTTAATGACACCGTTATTGGGAACACAGTAACTGTTTCTATAGCCAACATTTAGATGGCATCTCGGCATGTAAACTATCAGTCATTTAGAGTATCATCTAACTGAACCCGTCGCTATGATACTTGCGTATCTTAAAAAAACTCATTAAAGATACTAAGATATCAGTTCAGATGACATACACCCATGGCCAGCAGACGTTGGTTTCGATATTTTCATGGTTTGAATCATACGGTTTTGAATGTAAATTTCATGCATGTTGTAATTTTACTTAATGTAATGTTGCAACTTCCTCCAAAATTGTTTTAGATAGTTTTATATATTAAACATTGCCATAAAAGCGGGAAGTTTGGCTAGCCACAATACCAGGTTCAGCCCATCATTTTTTTCTTAAAATGTCCTGTACCGAGTCAGGAAAATGGCCATTGTTATATTATAGTTCGATTCTGTGTGTGTTACATTTTAAGGTTGTGTTTCTGTTGTGTCGTAGTTCTCCTCTTATATTTGATGTGTTTCCCTCAGTTTTAGTTTGTAACCCGGATTTGTTTTTTTTTTTCTCAATCGATTTATGAATTTCGAACAGCGGTATACTACTGTTGCCTTTATTTACATGCTTTATTTTGAACATGATTGGTTATGTCGTCATATGTGATGCACCTTTGGTTTTTCAAGCATTTAGTCTTGAGAGTAACTGATTAAGATTATTCCAGAAACAAGTATCTTCCACTGTTAATGGTTATCATATACAGTTTTTATAGCGAGTATAGAGAGATAACCATCATAAAAGTTTACAGAATTACCTGCAACATCTAACTGCACAACTCTACTTTGTCCTGTTCCAACAATGTTTTTAGCTTTGCAGCTATATGAAGCTTTGTCTTGTTCATCAATATTATGTATTGTAAGAGAGGGTGTTTGGATGCTACCACCAGTATATTTAGAACTGTGTGATGCCAGTTGTATTTTTCGAGCATCTTTGAGCCAAGTCAATTTAGTAACTGGTGCAGAGGATGAAACATTAATATTACAACTAATTGTTGTGGTCCTTCCCGTCAAGACTAAAGCAGCGCCGTCGATTCTCACTGTTGGTTTATCTTAAATTAAATGTTTGTCAATTAATATGGTAAATATCATTCACATGAAACAAACTAATTCAAACATTATTATACTAAGTTTGGTACAAAAACCTATGTATGCTTAATATATTTTTAAATGTCTAAAAGATGCTTCAGTTGTTCCACGGTTGTTAAAAGCTTTGCATATTTAAGACATATCAATTGCAATGTAATACTATCACCATAATTTGTTACGTTAAGTAGACATGTTTTTCAACAGACCAGTCAACAATATCAACCTACTGTGCTCCAAGCTTCAATGTTATCAGACATTTCAAGAGATGGTGTTCTCTCAAAGAATAATGTAAACTACAGTTAGGAGAATATATTGATGGCATCTATCCAATTGAACTTAAGTAAATAGTACTATATGAACTAGATACAGAAAAGACTTCTTTTTATCTTTACTTAGATTTACAGTTTGACAATGAAGGACGGTTAAGGTGTAAAGATTTACCGATGGCTTCAATTGTGAATTTTTCCATTTCTGCTCCAATTTGAAGCAGGCTGAAGAATTCACGATATTAAACGGAAAAAGTGTCCTGTCATGCTTTTCTGAATAGAGGGTTGCTGTTGAACAAGTATAATTAGTATAAAGTTAAGTTGTCACTACAAAAATGTAACGAATTCCATTATGATTTGGTTGACAGTTATTGAATATTTGTATCTAAGTTGACCGCGGATAGGTTGCATTTGCTATGGCAACAACCCCGTTCTCTTATCCAAGTTTACGACATCACTCAACGCAATTCATCACTTTAATTAAGTATTTTGTCGACTGTTGCTTGTATTTTTTACCTTTTTTGTTTCGCTATGTTGTTGTTAGTCTTTCATTGACTTATTTTCATTTCTCCAAGGTTTATTCATCATTTCTTGAACGCTTTGTTAACTTTTCATGTACAACCACTATATTTAATCTATTGAGCATTCACGTTATATCATGTGTGTTGATTATTGTTTGCATCATTGTGTTTTTAAGAAATATCCTTAGACCTAATACCTATAATATTCAAAGCAACTGAGTTACTCGTCCCTGTTCCAACTAAGTTTGTCACCTCACAATTGTACACCGCTTTATCAGTATCATCAACATTGCTTATTGTCAATGACGGTTGATGAATTGTTCCTCCACTATATTTGGTGGCATTCGCATTTATTCTTATTTCATCCCCATTTTTGAGCCATGTCAATGACGTTACATCTGGTAAAGATGTAATCTCACATTCAAGAATAACTGTTGTTCCGAATATAACATTTTCTTCAACCTTGATAATGGATTTTGGAATTTCTAAAACATAAAAAACGGCAAAATGTATTGTATCTTAAACATTACGATGTCTATAACACATTAAGAGGTATGTGGACTTATTAGCAACCCAGTTCCCTTTACGATTCTCAAAACAACAGGTGTTGAAAAGCACTATCATGTTACAACTCATCGCTGTCATGCTGCTCACCAAACATAGTCGTTGAGACAAAACGTGACACAGTATTTGTTTTTATTCAACATATTGAAAATTCAATTCAAAATTTCAGCAAAAATAGAAAGTATTTGTCCGTCTGACTGATTTAATAAGCTCTCAAATGCAACAACTAATCACTGTCAAGGGCTCAAATATGGAACAATTCTGTCCAGTAGGTTCTGAGAGAAAAATTCCAATTTTGTCAACATATTGAACATTTTAACAGGAAGTAGTTGTTTCATCATCCCAAAAATCAGACGAACTCATTGAGTGGGTATAATGTAAGATTTTACTTGTAAAATTTACGACTTTGTTCAATTCATAACTTCGTACAGCCCGGTTAATGATATTCAAAATCAAAATCGAAAAGGACACACGTACAGCTTAAATGATCAAGCCTTGATAATGACAATTATTGTTTACATAACGGACTATTAAAGGCCGTACTTTGACCTATAATGGTTTACTTTTACAAATTGTGACTTGGATGGAGAGTTGTCTCATTGGCACTCATACCACATCTTCTTATATCTATATACCAATAAAGCCTTATTCTATTTACTATATGAAACATACTTCTGTAGAAGTTATAATGTCCATAAATTCTTTTCTAATAACGATCGCGCTATCTTATTTGCTGTAGATAAACCTATGCAGGTATTGTCGTAATATATATATCAATAATGAAACTTTTTTTAGCACATTACCTCCATATATTTTCAAAAATATATCATTGCTATTGACAGATCCTGTAGCATTGACAGCTTGGCACATATAATAACCCCGATCAGTTTTTTGTACATCATTGATTGTTAACGAAGGATTCTCCACAGTTCCTATGTTGTATTTTGAAGAATTTGATAAACATTTTGTATAAGCATCTTCTTTATTCTGTTTCCATCTCCATATCATATGATCGGGTCTGTACTTTTCACCAATTGTGACATTGATAACATACGTTTTACCAACAACTGCAGATTGTGCTGCTACTGGATATACTACTTGCCTGCCTTCAAAACAGAAATATGAAATATATCATACATGATCAATAGGTTATCAAACATCTAATTGTTTATGATAAACACCAATGCATCAATATATTTCTATCAATTTTTTTTGGTTATATATAATGTGGGAAAAAATCAATAAGCTGGCACCATCTTGCACAGAAAAATATTGGTCTTATTCCATAAGATAGATTGAAAACACAGAAAACTGGTATTTTAATACTTTGATGTGTGCATATGACTGCAGTTTATATTGACAAATGATTTTATATCAATAAAAAAATTCAATTCATATTTTATTGTACCGCTTGCAGAATTGAATAAAGTTTTACAATGCACTGTGTCGCCGTTACTCTTAGGACAAGTTGTGTGATTACTTTAAGAATAATTCAAATATCTATATTATTTACATTTTACCTTATTTGATAAAAAAAACACGTACAAAAGTTGATGTTAAATCTATGCGACAATAGATTTCCAGAAAGTACTTTATTTTTTAGACACTTTTGGCAAATAAAGCCTTAAATTTCAACTGTATCATAAAATATCATAAATGCCACAATTTGGTTCTTAAATAGATCTATTTCAAAAGCCTTAGTACTAGTTAAAACAAATCTCAAAATATGAGTAAATTAGAGGTTCCAACGTGAGCACATTTTAAAACGACGTGATGAAATTGTACATTCTTCGGATATTAAAGCTTAGAAAAAAACCATGACCGCAACCTACGATCCAAAAGGTTCTGAAAACATGTTGAAAGGTATATATTGAATTCTTAGGCACAACCATTATTTTCTGGATCAGGGGTTTTGACCAAAGTAAATAATGTTAAAACTTGTTATAAATTATGCAAAAATTGTAATTACATACAATATATTTTCCATAAAATGCAAGAAGATGTGAATGATACAATGCATTTTAATATAATTGGCTGTGAACTACTAATATCAAGATTGTGACATACCATCAAACATGCGAGCGTGAGCTCCACTTGTCTCACTTGAATCGTCAACCAAAGGACAGAAAGCTCCTATTGTCTCCCCTGGGCCATCAACTACGTTTGATGATAAATTTTCTAGGAGAATAAAAGATTTGATTCTAGATAACGCATTGTCATTGAGTAATAAAATGGTAAATTTTAACTTATAAAACATTTTACATTAAGGCTTAGGCAGCTTAGTAGTCTAGTGGTAAATTGATCATTAGCCTGTCAAGTCCGCGGATTTTACTTCAACTTTGGTCTTAAGTTTTAGTACGCCATACACATGTACCGTTTACATAATACTTATCAATGGCGATCGAAACAAACCAAAACAAAATAAGATAAGAGAACTGAAAACCAAACATTACAAAAAGTTGATAAATCCTAAGTATTTCGAATGATAACATTATTTTGAAAATTTATTTATGTAAATCTGTAGAAAACGATCGAAAGATGCTATCAAGTCACGAATTCTGACGGCAAGGATTTTGATACCATCTGGAATTTAACGTCAACCAGCAATTTTGTCGATCTGGTGGTTGTAAAAATCATTCTAGATACCACACTAATGTTGGTCCTAAACGGTAATTTTGATCTTAACATCATCTGAAAAGTCTGAAGCTAAAATGTTTATATTAAAAATAAGATGATATGGTATGATTGAAACAATTCTCCATCAGAGACCAAATGACGTAGAAATAGCAACTATAGATCACCGTTTCAACAATGAGCAAAACCATACCGCATAGCAATCTATAAACGGCACGACATTGCAAATGTAAAACAATCCAAATGAGAAAACTAACGGTCTAATGCATGTCAAAAACAAAAACCAAATATGAACTCATCATAGATACCAGGATTACAATTTTTTGTACGCCAGATGCGCGTTTTGTCTACAAAAGACTCATATTGACGCTCGAATCAAAAAACTTAAAAAGGTCAAATAAAGAACGAATTTAAGAAGCATTGAGGACCCAAATTCCAAAAGGTTTTGCCAAATTTTGCCTTTTCAATGATTACACTTTGGTGCTGACTACTGGGATGGTAATACTCTCGGGGAGGAAACATCTACCAGCAATGGCATCGACCTAGTGGTTGTAAATAAACTCCTCATACATGCCAGGATTACAATTTTGTACGCCAGACTACAAAAGACTCATTGTTATATGCAACAACCCTTACAGACGACAACCACTAAATTACAGGCTCCTGATTTTGGACAAGCACATACAGAATATGGCAGGGTCACTACCTAGGCTGATTGACTGTTTGTTAGTCATCAAAGGTATCGCTAGCCCAGTAGTCCTATAATTCGGTCCTGGTCTGATATTGGGAATTCTTTTTTGTGCAATATATTCTTTGATACTATTCATACCAGCTACATACGACGTTTTTACATACAACTCTTTGGTTTAAAACATTAAAGAATTTCTTTGGAAAATAATCAGACAATTCTTTTTATTGAATGATGCCCTTATTCTCGTCCAACTATTGTTGTTTCCAATTAGACTTCAGCCAACTCAAATACTATAAAAATTTATTTCCGTGGAAAATACATCAAAGCTACGATTATCCAGTATGTTTGCTTCTTAAATTAGTAAGTTTCAGGATAATGTATTGGGTTACTTATTGTATTTCGTTAACTTATTTTCTTATCAAGCATTATGAATAATGTAATTAACTAAGAAACATGATTTGTTTGGAAATAATTTTGAATAAAATATCAAAGAAAATAAAAGATTATTACTTGGATAATCATTACTCAGGCTTTCTTTCGAATCTTGCTTTGTCATTTGTCTGTCAAAATCATATGCTGTCCTTGCCTCTGAAAGAGCATAGGTAAAAAAAATACATTATTTCAAACAATTTTTCAATTATAAGCAATTTGTGAGCTTACTATAGCAACCCATCAAAGACAACAGACCTACGACAGTCGTAGATAATGGAAAATAATTCAATTTAGATAACGTTTCGGAACCAAAAAATGAATTCAATTCTCAAAACAATATTCTAGATAATATTTATCGACAATTCTCCGATAGAATATTTTTTTTCAAGTATGGTCTGAATATTTGTTGCTCGAGTAAAATCTCTTTCCAACAAAACATTTTAAGGGAAATTCAAGTATGGCTGGCTGTTCACATTATATGCTCAATTATAGATAGAATCGATAGAATCAACAAACTGTCTTTAATGCTGATGCATGCATACCCCCCCCCCCCCCTTCTCCTCCCCGGTTTTTTATTGTTACTTTGACTTGTCATCTCTTTTTGATCGATTTACGAGATTTGAACATCGGTAAATGACTGTCGCCTTAATTAAAAATCAGTATTGAGGTATGGTATTAAGTATTAAAAATCTAGGATTTAATATTAAATTTGTGATAGTAGAAATGGTTTTGACAGACAATTAGCCAACCATGTTTGTACACTGTAAGCATCTTTGGTAAATAGTCCATGATTTCAATTTGTTGAATACATTACCTCCTTCACCTCTCATCAATACATTGTTGCCATCACCCATTACCAATGTTGCAGCTTGGATATTAATCTGACTGTCATTTGTGTGTGGCTTTACTGAAGAAGTAATGCAGCAGAAAATATTAAGAAACAAAACGTTTATTTACAATCGGATAGAAGTGCAGGTAAAGTAACAAAAGTCAATAAAAAACAACCAATAAATCTCAATCTAGAATCATAACAGTGATGTAATCTCAATTTAATCTAATTGATATCATTTCTTTCCATTTGGTGTAAAAAAGAAATTAACAAAAACCGTTAAAATGGCATGTCTCGCATTTCAGTATAAAATATACTTTGGAAAAAGAGAGAAGAAAGATACCAAAGGGACATTCATAAATCGAAAATAAACTGAGTTTGTACTAACATGAGCACACGACGGGTGCCACATGTGGAGCAGGATCTGCTTACTCTTCCGGAGCACCTGAGGTCACCCCCAGTTTTTGGCGGGGTTCGTGTTACTCAATCTTTGGTTTTCTATGTTTTGTTTTGTGTACTGTTGTTTGTCTGTTTGTCATTTTTCTTTTTTAGCCATGGCGTTGTCAGTTTATTTTCTACTTATGAGTTTGAATATCCCTTTGGAATCCTTTGCCTCTCTTCTCTTATGTGTGCCACATTAGTCTCTCAATTTTAAGCCATTTTGTGAACTAAAAAGTTAACAAGACGCATATCACCTATTCTTGGCCCTCATTCCTATCCACGTTAATTTTTTTTCACTTCCAAATATTTTATGGGGGGTCGGGATCAATATACCGTTATTTATACATCAGACTGTACTGGTTATCGGAATTTTGGATACACCAAACCAGGTACTTCATATCTGTGAAACAGGCAATATACGCCCTCAATTTTAGAATTCATTCATACATTTTTGTGTTATTCAAAATTATCAGTCAATATGTGTTCTACAAGGATCACCAGTCCTTCACCTTTCATCTGATACCTTAATTACTAAAATCTATTCTACATATTTTTATATTTACACCTATGCGTAGGAACTATTCTGTTTTAGATATGTACTACTTTCCAGTATGTTATTTACCGGGCCCGATTTGGAGGTGTTAACTCTTTTATAGTCTATCCAAATTATTTTTGCAAAGAATTCCGCTCCAGCCGGTGCTAGGGGCTAAAAGTTTTTTTGTTCCGTGTTGAAGGCCTTACTGTGACTTTGAGATGAAAAACAGCAATAAAAGCGTTGTTCCTTTGGTTTTTGTGTATGTTTTTTTTTTTTTTTTTGCAGTGCATGTACTGATTTTGTGTCATGGATGGATAACCCATGTCCCTTGTTTTTCTATTATATCCGTGGTTATCTGTGAAACAGATATTCCATAACGGTCAATCAACTCTTGATGGCGTCCGTAAAATTAATGAAGGGATGATTTCAACTTCACCACTTGAAACTCTTGGTTTAATAGCTTCCTTATGAGCAGCGACCCTCTATCTAGGAAATCATGATAGGAAATACAAGCCCTGGAATATTGTATCAACTGGGAAATATATACTCCGTATGCAGGCGCTGCTGGAATGTTGCTACATGAATGGAAAATTTACAATTGGGAAGCTGAAATCATCTCTTTGGTCGTAAAGTTTTGTTTTCGACCGACCCTCATTGTCAATTTCTAGATATGATATGAGGCAGACTTAAATGTATCTGTTGTATCCTTGATCTCAAGTTGAGATTGGATAGATGCGTCCAACATGGGAAACGTTCATAAATTTAACTATGCTTAATAGTTTAACTTTTACTTGGAAATGTAATTGTTTTGTCAATGGTATTTTTGACTTCATATAAAGGAAAATGGACTGTTGTAGAAATGCATGGTGTGATTATACTGAACATGTTGTATTCAAGATTCTAATCCCATATTAGCTTTAAGGAAACAATAGACTTCTTCTTCTGTATTTACATTTCAATCTTCTTTTGTTTTTAATTTTTTAATTTGTTTTTTTTTTTGGGGTTCTTTCTTTTATTTTGTTTTCTTCTTTTTTCCGGGGGGGGGGGGGGGGGGGAGGGGGGAGGAGTCAGAAGGAAAACAACTTTATATCCAAATATTTATCAAAGATACCAGGTTTATAATGTTGTACGCCAGACGCGCGTTTCGGAAAGACTCATCAGTGACGCTTGAATTAAAAGTTTAAAACGCCAAAATAAGTACGAAGTAGAGAGCCTTAAGGACCCAAAATCCCGAAAGATTTTCCCAAATACTACTAAGGTAATCTGTTCCTGGGGTAGCAATTATTAGTATTTCGAACAATTTAAAGTTTTGTATACAGTTAATTTATAAACATGATCATATCAATGATATGTCATGCCAACACAGAAGTGCTGACTGCTGATACCGTATATAACTGCAAACTGTCACTACTGAAAAGTATATCAGTACGAAACAATAATGAAAATAAGTCCTTTAACACTATTAATAATAATTAATAAATAATATTATAAATGTTATGTAACATGACAGGGCGAGATTTGTACTATAATGAGGAATAAAAATCAATACATTGAAATGAAGAACAATAATTAAAATGCTGTTCCATTGTTCCATTCAAGAGGGTGTAGTGATGTTATGTATGTCATGGATTGGATATTCATTCGTTTGATTAGGATAGTTCTGAAAATATCAGTTCTCTACATGTAAGAATTATATATACAAATCGTCCTTTCCCAAACAAATATGGTACACCATTTTATTATTTTTTTTTAAATAATGACGGACGCAAAATAGTAAAACCCTCCGCGGTTTTACACTAGTATTGAAGTCGCTGCAAAATATGAAAATGTGCGAAAAGATACAATGGCGCAATCAAATGATCGAAAAACTTAAAACACCATATTCAAAGAAAAATGACATAGAGACAAACAACAGTTATTAAACACTAAACAGAAGAAACGCGTTAATGAAGTTCGATGTTCAGGACGCGTACCCTTATAACTTATAACATGAGTTTCACATTTTTAAGTTTGGGCGTGTCTGATGAAGGTAAATCCAGAAAGGCACTGCAGATGCAATACAAGTGATATGTTCGTATAAAAACCCAGTACGGATTATAGACTTAGTAAAATACCCTTAGCTGACTGTAAAAAGTAATACAAAATACCAATACTATAATTTTGTTCACCGTGCCTTTCGTCTTCATAAGACTCAGTATGGTTCTAATCCAAACAGTTGGCCGACCAAATCAATAACGTAACGAAGTTGACGAGCATTTATAGCCAAACTTTTCTAAAGCTTTGTGATAAATCTTCCAAAGGAATGCCATTCCTGATGATAGAAAACCTTTTTTTTGCGGACGCTTTAAACATTGTATAAATAATAAATGTACAGAAAATGTCTTCTTGGTGATATTTCATGTAAGTAATCTTGTAAATTATTGGTAGTTTACGTTACTCTAAGCGAATTTTAGGGTGGCTTAATTTATCTTTGCATTAGCTCATGTTCTTTAAGCCAGATCTGTACCAAACTGTATTTAATATAAATAAGAAGATGTGGTATGAGTGCCAATGAGACAACTCTCCATCCAAGTCAAAATTTATAAAAGTAAACCATTATAGGTCAAAGTACGGTCTTCAACACAGAGCCTTGGCTCACACCGAACAGCAAACTATAAAGGGCCCCAGTGTAAAACAATTCAAATAGGAAAACCAACGGTATAATCTATATAAAAAACGAGAAACAAGAACCACCTATGAACCACACAAACAAACGACAACCACTGAACAACAGGCTCCTGACTTAGGACAGATGCATAAAAATGTTTGTATAAGAATAAATTCCTCACTAAAATACATGCTACCTGTAATGCTAAAATCCCTAGAAGTCAGTTGACTCTGTAACTGTTCCATGTCGTCATCGTCGATATCATGTGCTACAAATAAATGTACAAATAAGATCAAATATGCAGCCTTATTTACCATTTAATTTTTGTAGGTAGTCAAAATTATTGGTTGTGGTATTATTCACGCAGCTGCATCTGCTTTTAAGATACCAGGTTTTATTACGTTGGTTCGAGGATTTCTATTTGTTTTAATTACTATTGGTTTAACGTACAGTGGCAAATATTACATGCATTTTAGGACGAGAACATTTGAATGCAATATGAATATAGACCCTGCATTATACTAAATCGACAATATTATTTTTTAATGTTTGAGTTTACCGAGTACTTTTTAGTAATAGTCTGCTTGCACACAAATCACACCACCCTAGACACATGATGTTGACTCCGAGTCGACCAGTCCTTGTTCTTACTAAAAAATGTCAATGGTTTGGCGGCCTAAGCAGCACATACAAATTTTCAAGTGCTTGGTTTGACCCAGTCTCACCGACGTTATCTCACACTTATTTCGGGCATGCTACCACGAGACCTCCGTGGCCGTTCTATTATATATGTTGGATTTTTACTCGAATGGTTCTTTCATGAAATTAAAATGATGTTGTGCGCGGTGTTGGTCACTTTACAAATAGTACAGTTCTACCTCTGAACGGGATGCCATACTGTAACTGTTAAACCTAATAATTCTCTTTTTTTTTGGTAAATCCGGTTAAATATTAAAATTTCAATAAATTGACTAATGAGTCAAGAAAATCCATTTTACCTTTTCGGTTTTAATATTCTTCTTTTGAATAAAACGTCAGAAGATTAGATGTAACGTGAAAAACAAAAATGAATTTAACACAGCTTTGTGTTGGTACAAATACTATTTATATAAATTAATTAACAGTGGCCGGTTTCCAGCTATTTGATGCCACGTCTTTCTGGTGTTTGTTGTTTAGCTCACAAATTCAACGACAGCCGTCAAGTTTAAAGCGAACGAAAAATTTATAGTATCTTACAATGAAAATGAACTGGCAAAAAAAAAAGGCGAACACTTCCATTCCGCAAAAAAAAACGTTAGAAAACAAAAAAAAATTTCCTCTATTTTCAATTCATACTAAAAACAAGTAAGTGGATTTCCTGTCCGAAATATTATGTCCAGCCAATGTGTCTACCGTGGACTTTTTCACACCAGAATGAGCACGATCAATATTTAATATCCCTGAAATGTAACAAATTTTAAATACAGATAATGAAAAAAACATCTGAAAAATGTTTATTTTTTAGTATATGTATATAGATGAATAACCAAAATGTTAAAGTTTTCGGTTTTCGGATTTTTTTAATGTTTAAAAGTTTACCTTTCGGGCATGGATACCGCTATGCCATTGCTTTATCACCTAATCGAAGAAGCAGACAACAAAACATATACTTATGCCATTTACTTGAGCCAAACTTCTGTGTCAATTTTGTGACTAGATCTTTCTCATCTACTTCTTCTAATGCCCATTTTAGATATGGAATAGGATTCCGTTTAGTTTCTTTTACAACGTTCAACCATTCATTTAACAGTTTGTAGAACTGTTTAGATTCGCTACCTTTCAACACTCATATCATATCCAATTGCCTCTGAGAACTGTAGCCATTTATTGCTAGTTATAAATGTTTGTTCTACGTCAAGAACAAATATTTTAATTGCTGGAAAAAGAAATAAAACTGATCAAACCTAAAAATGCTCAAATTGTAACGACTTCTAATGGATTCGTCAAAAAAGCTACATCTTAACGATTAAAAGATCTTTTAACAAAACCTCTAAGTGCATGAAATCTACAACATCCTTTAACATTGGAAGTGCTTAAAAAGGAGGTAGATGATACAAAAAGGAAATTCAAACACATAAGTCGAGAAGAGACCAACAAAATCATGACGAAAAAAAAGACGAACAACAGTCTGCAAAACACAACATAAAAACTAAAGACTGAGCAACACAAACCTCGCCAAAACCGTGGATGATATCAGGTGCTCTGAAAGGGGACGTATATCCTGCACCACATGTGATACCTGTCGTGTTGTTCACGATAATGTACAGATTCAGTGTAAAATTTCATTTGGTGAGGTCACAATCGAGGAAAACAGGACGAGAGATTGCGACGACAAAAATAATGAAATATGATATGATTGCCAATAAGACAACTTTCCACCAGAGATCGAATGACGACGATGTAATCAAATATAGGTCTACGTACAACTTTCAACATTGAGCAAAACTATAGTAAGATAAAGACATTTTTAAAAGCCTTTCAAACTGTATGTTGATCATGATTTGTCTACCTCTATCAGAATTGATCTTGAAATACTTTTAATGACTTTATTTAATATATGGTATAGTCAAACTTGTCGAATTTTCTTTGGTGCTGTTGCAAATTCCTCGAGATTAAATGTCAACAATATATATGTTACATCTTCCGGAGCACCTGAGATCAACCCCGGTTTATGCAATGGTTCGTGTTGCTCGGTCTTTTGTTTGATATGTTGTGTTTCTTGGACTAGTGTTAGTCTTTTTTGTCGTTTTTGTTTTTGTTTCGAGTAAGGGCGTAGTCAGAATGTCTTCGACTTATGTCGAATGTCCCTTTGGTGCTTTTCGTCTCTCTTTACATAAATGCAAAATCACTGTTTCAATAACCGCTTTCAACAATGGTTTGGTTTATGCTTAAAACAATATGCAATTGTCTAAATTGGTGTTTTTCCTGAATTTCTTGATTTGTTTCAGAAGACAACTGAAACAAAAAGTGTGTTTCTATAAACGAAATAAAACAAAAAAATAAATTAAATTAAATTAAAAATAATCTTTCGATTCTTGTTCATTACCGGAAGAAGTATTTTGTCTTTTTTTAATCTTAGAATGACAATTCAAAGTCATCAAAGGAGAGTACAATAACTGTTACCTAATCCAAAAGTACCAATGAGATTGAAATGTTAAGGATTATTTCTGATGATTAAGTCATTATTGATTTATAAGAAATAATACCTATGACTTGAATTCGTGTGAAATGGTTAAATTATAAAATTTCATTGATTGAACTTTCGCCTACAATCGTTTCAGTTACAAACATTTTTTTTTTGTATTTTGTAAATATTTATATAAATTTCTGCATATCAATCATATGACAAACCTTTCCATGTTTTCTTGCTAATTTTCTCTGTATTACATCCTGTAAGACATTAATCAAATCTATGATTTTCATAACCGTGTGCTAGCAGTATAAATCAACTGTACTAACACTGATTGAAAAAGGGAAGAATTCATTTAATGAAATGAATAACTCAATATGATTTTGAGGAATGAAATTACAAATATTAAAATTTCTTTCATTAATTAATCTGAAACTTTTTTGACTCATTACCATCAATATTACAGAATATTTCATTTTTGTCTTTTCCATTGAACATTACATTTCACTACAAGCAACTTAGGGTTAAGAAAGCTTCTTTTTTAACGCCTGGAATTTAAAAAAAAAATATAATTCAAATCTACAAATTCTATACTTCACTGTCAAATATCAAGAATGTTATATTTAAATTTACATATTTTATTTTAATATTCTTTCACTTCAGTTTGTGCTTCATGCCCACTGCGCTCACATTTAATCCCGGTTCAATCTAAAAATAATGTAGTAAACAACAATTTAGATAAAAAAGTTTAGTGATTGTTGTTTTTGTTTCATTTTCTTAAACAAGACATTATTTTATGAAAAATATATTCTCCAAACAAAACGTTTAGCGGCTAAGAAAGTATTATACAATATATATTAAAGAGCACATTAACACTAAAGATCTTAGCAGAACAGCGACAATTGTCTTTGGCCAACATTGTCGATTGTGCGACCATAGTTTCTGTACAATAACAAAACTAATAACCGCATAAATTACAATAAGAATGTTTGATAAAGGCATGCCATTACCGAACCACTGTTTTTTTTTTTTTGCCGACTTAACCTTTAGTTATAGCCCATTTAACATTTAGATGATCCAAAAACAGGAAAATGATTCCAAAATCGTATATTTTTTTTTAAATATTGAATGTGCATAAATAAAATACATGTACATATACTTTATAAATGTTGGTATACATTACCATATGTGTTGGTTATAGTTCCTGTGTCCTCTGATAAAGCAGTAGGGTATCTATCTGCATTCTGTGTTCGTAATGCCGAGTTATCTGAATTTCCTTGCACAAAAAAGGTTTCTGGGTTTAAAGACGGTTCAGATAATATTCGACCAGGGTGTTCTCCTGTTAATAATTATATTGTGTGATAGTAAAATTGGGGATAAATTTTACATGAGTAACACGCATTACGTATAGCTTGCAATGAGACAAGTTAACACCAAATTACCTAATAGTCCAGTCATTCTAGCCAAAATATGACCAAACCTCAAACTAATTGCAACAGAATGTACTTCAAGTTTTTCTAGCTGATTTTTGTGTACCGTTGAACAAATAAAAAAACGAGAAACTTTGGAAGAAGGGAAATTGTTAATTTTTGGTGAAAACCTTGGATTTTGATGAAAAATCGTTGAAAACTGGAAATATCCCGTGACTAACGAAAATAGCAACGTACATAATTTTGAATTAAGGCAATAGATCTTATTACGACAATGAATTTATAAAAATATGATAATCTTCAAAATGAGGTGGAAATTTTGGGTGAAAATGTTAGTTTTTAATAAAAAAAATCGCTGAAAACTGGGAATTTATTTTTTTTCTTAAAAACAACAAGCATTCATTCAGTATTGCCTGCCAATACAGAGTCCCCTACCGGTTAAAAATTCATTATACTGGAACAAAATGCTAACTTGATCTATAACTTGTCATGGTGTAAACTATATAACAATAACATAAACGGTACCAATTTTTCTGCACCAGATGCGCATTTCGACAATAAATGTCTCTTCAGTGATGCTCGAGGCCAAAATATTTGAAAATTCAAAGCTTATTAAAAAGATGAAGATATCAAGTCAATTTCTTCAAGCATGAAGAACAAAAATGTGGAAAATTGATTATTTGAGTGAATTTTCTAAGTCCAAGGACCATAAATCTGCACAAAATCATCAGACCGGAACAAAATTCGAACTTGATCTGTAACTTGTCATGATAAAACTATATACCAATTATCAAATTAATATATTCAAAAATTCATATATTCTTAAAGATAAGCCCTCTGGCTATGAAATGAAGCCGCATTTGATGTTGGCTGCAAAGTGTGTATTTGAACGCACGTTTTGTTTGTCAAAACTCTGGCGGCAAACTTTCTGTAGCGGAGAACGTTCAGTCCTTCATATGGAGCACCATTTATAGAGAAAGGAAATAATGTTTTCACCAGCAGAAATTACAACATCCTTTGTGTTTGCATTGCATAATAACTGTGCCTGAGCCTTAACAAAGTCGTGTTCTCCGAATTTCTTCAGGGTCGCTGCTTTATTGACTCCAAACATTCTTGAAGTTGTGTCGCAACCACTGATAGCATGAATTAAAGGTATCAGTGTACATAGCTCCTCACTAAGAAAGACTTAGTCTTCAAAATACCGGTATCTCATATTTTCATATGTTGTGTGTTGATTTTTGACACATTGCCAAATTTGAATATCAGCGAATTTGATGTAGTGTCCGCATGATAAAGAAGAAGTACAAGAAGATCAGTGTCCTCTCCAAGCAAAATAGTTGGTTTTGTTTTCTATGACTCGATTGCAGTAAGGGCTATCAATACATCAGCATCGGCATCTGCGTGTTTAGTTTCAATTCCCTTTGCTACCATCTTTGTACTCAAGGGATTAATGAAGTTTTTCTTGTTTTCGATGTTTGATAAAAGTTTTTTTTTTTTCTAGATTTGAAAGCTCTATCCGTGAATGAAACTTTTGTGCCTATGATTCCTTTTGTGCGTTGCTGGTGAGTGACATCTTTAGTATCTGAACCCGAGACATATCCATCAAATACAACCATAGCAGTTCTGTATTTCCTTTCTACGCTGTCAACGTACCTCTGGCAAATTTCACCGAAAAAAAGTCCGCTTTGCCAGTGTATACGATGGAGAAGAGAGCCACCATCAATAACATACTGAGTTTTGTCGTTTTTGTTCATTTCAATCGCGCAACAATCGCCCTTTCCCCAAATAGCATCTGCAAGACTAGACTTTTGTGCTGTTCGCATGAGCCCATTTGGATCAAACATTGAACTGGAATGACTACATAGTTCATAAGTAAATATTTCGAACTGATCTTCATATATGCCATTTGATGCAGCAAGAAAGCAAAGCGCTGAAACAGAAGATGTGAATAAACAGTAATTACATCATCATCAACGTTGATAGCCGATTTGGCACTTAAGGTAATGACCTGTTCCTTCCTCTTAAATGGAAATTCATTTCTAAATGAAAGCCTCCAATTCGTAACATAACTGACTTTAAAAGACTATTCAATGGTTCATTTTTAACTATGTTCATTGCCTTCAAATAGAGGGGTTGATCAAATGTCAAAAAAGGTGAACAATGTTGAGCTTTTGCGTGCTTGCTTATGAAGTTAAGAGTAACATTTATACATGTGAAATTACACGGATTCATGTCTTTCATTGGCAAAAAACAACAGATGATTTTCCTGAGTAATCACCGTCCATCACTTTGTGCATAATGGCTGACCAACTAGGTCGATTGTATGTCAAAGGCCAGCATACTTTTGACATGAGATCCAACTTCCACGTGGTGTCGACCATATTCGGCTCATAATCCATGGTTTGGAACTCTGCCTGTAACGATTGTCTAGGTTGCATCTTATAATAATCTATGTTGATCTTTTCGCTAACTCTGAGACTTCCTTTAGTGTTGGAGATTGCCTTGGGACAGCTTTGTCAAGTCTAATTCCTAGAGTTACAGCTGCAATCATGCCCATACCATGACATATTCCATGACCATCCAAAGTTCGCAGATTATGGTCTATACTGAACGAAAGTGTCATTCCCAATCCGTGTGTCCGTTCTGTCATGAGAAGCAGCAGCATCATTTAGTTCAAATCTTTGAACCTCTGTGTAAGAAGAAGCAAATCTAAGAGTGTTCAAAGTGTCAAACAGAAACCTTGATCTAAAGTGATGATGTATTTGTATGTGTACACTGAGGGCGAGTTGTAGCGGTTCAATAAGTGTTCTTGGTCGAGTTGCCTAAATTATAGCTTGACCAACAGATGCAACTTTAACAACAGAGTCGTTTTGAATAAATAACGCTCTTAGAAATGTCCTTAACGAATCTGGGACAAAGGCAGTGTTTTCTGTGAGTTCATATCAACAGAAAACGGATATATAGATTTTGAATCACTTAGACTCATAATATCTGCTTTGATTAGCTTAGCTGCTGTTTCTATCATCGACAGTTATTCATCTTAAATGATGGTCTTCTGTAAAACTCGTTTAGTATAGATGATGCTGTTTTCCTGAATGTCACTATATTCGACTTTCCATTTACTTCCGCGATGATGATATCGGATCCAAAATGAGTTTGCAGTCTCTTTTTCATTTGCACCACACAATAAATACAAACAAAAAACACAAAAAGATAGAGCAACACAAAAACTCACATTATCGAGTACCCTGACGGGGGATAGAGCTCTTACTGCACCACCTACACATTTCGTGAAATTCAACATTAGAAAAAAGGCAAGTGAGGAAGCTTTGAGATTATCGCCTTTATATCATGTTACACTTTCTATTGCATAATGTTGGATTGATTAGGGACAAATTATAGGTCTCCATTTGCATACAAGCTACTTATAGAACCAATGTTGGAACACAACTTACCAGAAGTATTTACAGATGCTTGTCGGTCTTCTGTTGAGCCAACGTTCGCAAGTGTTTTACCTTCGGAGATATTTGAACATTGTACGACCTCACTTGGATCGTGAGACCATCCATATCCTGACAATGATCCTTCGTGTTCCTCACCTGCTTTGTAAAAAACCATTATTAATACTCAGAAAATATTCAGTAAGAACTATTCATTTACATGCTAATTTACATCGCCCACCTATTATCATTACCAGATTTTTATCCTGCATTCAATAATATCAATATTTAAATAAAAGTGTGGAAAATTCTTATACATGTATACGTTATCCGCAAAGTATAAACTATTGTCTTCCGATATCTTTAATTTTTTTTTGTTTATGATTGAACAGTTATGTTTAAATAACTGTTTACGTAGAAATTCAAACGCTGTCTTGTTCGCGATCCTCGTGCAACCAATGTCGGTTTCTTGAAGAAAGACAAAAAAAAATTTACGACTATGCAATATTTACTAGTCATGTTAAGACCCCGTCACACTAGACCAAGACCAAGACCACTACGATCAATAAAAAAAAAAGATCGCGGTGAGATCGTGGTATGATCGGCTTGAATATTCAATATTTCATAGTTTTCACGTTCATTCCACGACCTCGCTATGATCCTGATAAGATCCTGTTACGATAGTAACACGTTCTAGTTACGATCTTGTCACGCTCTTGCTACGTCTAACAAGACCTTACCACGACTTACAAGATATCTGTACGCTTCTACCAAGACCTTCGCGATCGCATTACGATCTCAATACGAGTCTACTACGATCGAACCACGACTCCACTACGTTGTCACTGCGCTCTTTGTCCCTATAAATATCTTGACTTTCCCATTGTACACACCAGTTTCCAGAGAAAACATGCCGCCAAAGGTATCAAAAGTTATTTGGTGTTTTTTTTTATATCAATAGAATGAGGTCGTGCAATTATTGTGGCTAGGACGTAGTTGTATCGTAGTAGGGTCGTACTAAGGACGGCAAGTGCGTAGTAGCAGCGTACTATTGACTTCTTCATCGTAGTATAATCGTACCAATATCGTAGTAGAAGCCTAATACTGACGTAGTGAAATCGGGAAAGTCGCAGTGAAATCGTAGTAAGGTCGCAGCGAAATCTTTTCCATTGGCCCATCCGATAGCACCACGTTTCCTATACGATGCTTCTTTGCCCATCCCGATCTTACTACGTCCTTACTACAACCTTCCTACGCTACGACTAGTTTTGGCCACGACTGCACTGCGGATGTTTTGAGCATGTTCAAAGTTGGTTGTGGACATCTACGATCATGAAGAGCTTGGCACGTCCTAACTACGACCTTACCACGACCACCACGATCTTACTACGACTTCCAAACTTTTTCATTAATTCTAAGGTCGTAGCGGGATCCTGGTCCTAGTGTGATGGGTGTATTAGTACAAATTCCGAACGAGCGAGACCGTCATTGGTAGTCAAGATCTTTGAAAAGTCTTACAAATTTTAAATTGCAGAATACATACAAAATTTCTATATACTCACTACAAACAGGAGAAAAACAAGATATAACTTCGCCTTTTTCATGTTTTTGATATTATCAACAAGGTACGCAAATTGTATAAACTGATCCTAACATATGTTATGAAATAGTGTGTGGAATTAAATAACACAAAACAATTTATCTGGAGTGATTTGTTATCTTGTTGGGAACTCGGTGGCCGAGTGGTCTAAGTAGTCCAACTACTGTGTCACTAGCCTGTCAACACTTAATTTTTGAGTTCGAGGCCCGCACGTGGCAGGTGCGTTCAGCTCCAATCTAGGATTAGGATTTAGTTTTCCTACCGAAGGTCGGTGGTTCTCTCCGGACACTCTGTCTTCCTCCACCTATAAAAACTGGCTGCCACGAAGTAGCCAACAGTACTAAAAGTGGCGTTAAACACTGACCAATCAATTGTTATCTTGTTATCACAACTTATATTACGCTACATATTTTCATTTTTTAATAATTAAAAAAATCCGTTAGACTTCTTTTCACTTCTATAGAGTGCTTATTCCAGGATTTTAGGGTAAAAGACGGGCCCAAAACATATTTAAAAAAATATATCAATATACTACTTTAATACTAATATGAAAAGCAAGAACATTAACTGCATTTAAAACAGTTAAAGAAAATTCAAAACAGACGTAAACTTTCCTTCCTTTTCCATTACACTACAATTTTTTTCTTTGGCTTGATAATTATATATAGATATTTGCATTTTAAAACAACGGCAAAATATTTATTTCCCTCATTGATCTCCTTCCATGTCCTTATACACTTTACACTTCCATTGTAACATGATAACCAAGTACATGTTTTACGATCTTTATCATCATCTATTCATATTTTTGTTATATTCCAATTCTTTGTGGAACCATTGAATCTAGCAAATTTTAAACAAAACAAAAATGACTACTCACTTTGTACAAGGTGTTTTGGGTGAGTTTGAGAACGATCCAAATTATGCTGTTCCTTTTGTTCTTTATGAAATATAATAAAATATATCATATAATTTTTCAGCATTGTATGTCTTGTACTTTTAAGAAGTTTCATTACTTTAGTAAAAAACAGAAACATAATCCCCAAAAGACACCAAAGACGACTAATCGACAATTTTCAATTGCCATCAGCACTATGAGGGGTCCATATAGTTGAGCAGGAACTGATAGCCCTTCCAAAGCACCTGCGTTCATACAGATTGTTTTGTATTGATTAAATTGTTTTGTTTTTTTTCAATGAACCGGCGGTGTTTGTCTTTTTGCATCTTTTTGCGTCGGATTTTCCCCCTTTTTATGATTATTTTTTTATACAAATTGGAGACATGACATACTAATGGAGAAAGGTAGACAACAGGTTTTTATCTAGTCTTTCCATCTTAAGCAAAATAATTTGACAACGCACGTGATTTATCTACAAACGCAAGTTTAGTTAATACACCAATGATCTTTAGAAATAACTACCCATTTGTATACTGTTGTTTTGAATCGTTTTTCGTTTCTTTTCTGTCATTGCATTGTCAGTTCTTTTTCGACTTATGAGTTTGATTATCCCTTTGATATCTTTCGCCTCTCCTTGACAAATTCATCATTTTTTGGCTTATGGTGTGGGAGCTAAATGAATTAAAGTGTTCCGAAAATAAGACTCTAGTAGTATTTGCAAAACTAATTTCAACTAAATAAAGAACAAAGAATACAAAGAAGGTTTGAATTGAGATTTTCGATTCATCTATTTGATCAACTAAACTGATAAATGCTATTGTCTATCCTTATGTTGTGGTCACCTTTGGGGAGATAAAAGATAATGTCACCCCAACTTTAGAGATAACTTTAAAACTGTTTTTTCACACCGTTGCATTTCTATGCATGAGAGCATCTTTAATTTTCGATATCATTCTAATTTATTCAATTTAAAAGTTCTTCGCAAACTTAATTTCACATCGCAATTAACTGTATAAATTCTAAACATGTTTTCTTCTTTAAATTATATATCTATATGCATATGCTTATACAAAAGAAAAGTTTAATTTTTTAGATTTACATCATTAAACGAAATCAAAAATACCATAACCAATTTGATGTACCAGATGCGCATTTCATTAAATATTTTTTACTTTTACTGTTTATCGTACTTTATTCTCTCAATTTGTACGCGAAACCAAATATTGCATATCACAAAAGTGTCAAACACGAACGGCGATAAACTTAAAATTATACCAATAAGGACAAAAAAAGTATATAAGGAACATCTGTAAAGTTGGATGATTAAAATTGATTTTATCATAATTTGTAACTCTGTTTCATATATAACATTCTAAAGTATCAAAATAACACCAAAACAATATAGTTTTAGTATAAAACACTAAAAATCTGACTTGTGTTTTTTATGGGGGGATTTACAAAATCCACCAATAATGGCACCAAGTCAGGAGCAGTAATGCAGATATCAAGGTTCAATAATAAATTCGATGCGCATTCGGAAATGCATTTTGTTATTTTACGGCGATATTCATTCATATTTTGCTAATCTTATGCAACGTATGATTTTTTAATAAATATTAAATGGGATTTTTTGCAGTAACATATCATGCCGTCTAAATAAAATACTTTTGTGCGTATTACGAACCTTTTAGACAAACATGTTTGTTTTTATCTTCGCTGTCCACAGTGGGTGACGCATCTATTTCTGGAATGCTTTCCATTCTCAAAGAACTGTTGGTGTGAAAAAAATGTACACCTGAAAAAATTGATGTTATTGGGGTTATTACACTTAGCACTATTTTTTTTTATATAAAACTTTAAATATTTCAGTGTATACATTCATATCTTTTCATCAAAGCACAATTGTTTTCTTCATTCGATATCATCTTAACCTAGTAAAAACTGTGTGTTGTGATAATAATATAGCAAAATAAAACAAAAGTAATGATACACAATTACACACTGACTGTCATATTGAACACATTTGTAACAATTTAGCAGCTAACAAAATGAAAAAAAAAAAACAGTCACTGTGGTATCTGCTCAAATTAACGTACGTCTTGTATTTTTGTAATGTAATTTATACAAAGCATAAACTCTTTCTAACCTCTTAAGAATTAAGACATAATCTGCAAAATAAAACACATGCCCAAAATTTGTGTTGCCTGGTTGTTTTCAAACAGGCTTCCATAGATAAAAATGTGGATCCGTGTTTTACCAGAACTGTTCCATATTATTATATTCTTTTCGAATTGCAATTCTCTGATTACCTTGTTTGACCGCCAAATTTCTCCTGTTTTTGACACTAATGTGCATCATTAAACGCGATCTTTGAATCGAGTGACGAGTGACCCACATATAGCAGTTGATGTTGACATTGTCGACTATTGGTCCCAATTCCGATTTTGCGTATGTTTTATACATATTTTAAAGCGTTTATATCTAGCCTAAACAATGAATGTTTATAATTATTTTCAAAACATGTAGCATTGAAATATACTAATTAGGGTAGGCATACATGTATAGGAAGGCAAATAATTCTATTTTTCAACAAGTTTTTGACTGGTTTAAACAGGGGAAACAGACTGACTTTAACATTGCTTGTTTAAATATAACAAAACAATCTTAGGGTTAGCAGAAATACAGATATGTTTAGGCAATAGTACAAATTTTGTACTTTACTGATTCCCATAAGTATTTTCAAAATTGAACAAGGTAGACCTACTAAAACTCCCTTAGAAGAAAGAATTTGTCCCTTGTGTCTTTTAGAAGAAGAAGATGAATTTCATTGCTCTATAAAATATACAAAACTAAATACAATTAAAAACCAATTGTTCAGAGAACAATTGAAGGTCTTTCCACCCACAAAGATCAATTTTGATATTGAAATATTTAAAAAACTCAGTTAGATATATCATATCCAGCGTCAAATGATAGCTTATTGACACTGATTCCAAAAATATATGGTTTCTATACATTTTTTTCTAAATAAGGGAGATAAATTGTTACTTCCGGTTTGAAAAATGTCACTTCCGGTTTTATTTGATAGTTCACTTGATACTGATTCCAAAAATATATGGTTCAATATACTTTTACATTAAATAAGTACAAAAAATAGCTACTTCCGGTTTACACCAGGTCACTTCCGGTTGGCTTTTTCATAGTCAAGTGGCTTGCCACGTAATGCAAAAAGTCCATTGGCTTTATCGGGTATACATATGCGGTAAAAGCAAAGGTCAAAATCTAGAACGTCAATTTTACCTATGACCTTGAGCTCAATTTCAAGGTCATAAACCAAGGGCTTCAAATCAAAAGACTATAGGTCTTAGTTATATATGGTTAATGAGTTATATCACTATATGCTTAACTTTTAATAAAAGAGGGGAGAAAACTCCAATTTAATGTTAGTGTACCCTTTTAACCAAAATTTATGTGTTACGACATGTCGCAACTTACAATTTAATAAAAATATGTTGTCGATATCTTATACGGTTTTTGAAAAGAATTGAAAATAAGCCAAAATCAAAATTTAAAATATGACCTTGACCTCTGACCTTGACCTAATTTTCTTATTTTTGGATCAAGGACCTCAAATCAAAAGATCCTAGGTCTCTATCACTTATGGTTTACAAGATAGAAATGCATATCACTTATATCAAATGCATAAGGGGAAATAACTCTCATATGGAATATTCATATCGCTTCGGTCAAAATAGGACAAATCATGCAAAGGATATAACGAGCAATTTTATAAAATAAATTTGTCGCTTTCTTTTACGGTTACGGAGGAGATGCAGTCACAAGGAAAACAGTGTTCGGGGAGATAACTCCTACAAAGAAAATTGTTCGGCTTAGAATGGGTGAAAATAAAAAGCGCATAAACTGTATGATACTATATAAGAAATATCTAAGCCACATCTTGCCAAACAAAAATTTTACGCGAGAACAAAATTTGGCGGAAGAAAATAATAATAATCAGAACAAAAACAATAGGTCTTTCCACAGAAAAGTGGAAAGACCTAATTAGAGAAAAATTATTTTCTAAAATTGATGAAATAGTTCCCTCTTTTTTAAATATGACTAATGAAACAAGATTTAAATTTAATTTTTGTATACGTGTGGTGAGAATGATATAATTAGAATTATAGTAAAATTCATTAGTGACATGTACAATTCTAGAAATGCTTTATTGAGTAATAAATAACTTTTTACAGTACCACCTCTTCAGCGGAAATATAAATTGATATATATTATTAATGTAACAATACTTTTTTAACAATAGATATACATATGTATATAGTATACAATGTTTATTAATGTGGACAGATAGGTGTTTGTATGTTTATGTATAGCAAATATTTATTGTCTTTGGTAATAATCCTGTAAATTTGGATTTTAAACCAATAAAATATCTCATCTTATCTTAAAAAAATCTTAATTGACTAGGGTTGTCAGTTTCCCATCAGAAGGTCGGTGGTTCTTTCCGGGCACTCCGGCTTCTTCCACCAATAAAAACCTGACCGCCCCGAAATAGCACAATAGTGTTGAAAGTGGCGTTAAACACTAATGAATGAATGAACGAATGTTCTGCTCTATTATTTTTCTATTCTTAATATTTAAGCACCCCATTGTTCTCTATTCCCTATCTGTTAGTCCTATTTTTCTTTTCTTTTTTTTTTGTCCTTTATTCTGCACTTTTTACCCAATATTCTCTATTCTGTAAACCCCATCCAGACCCTCATACACACTCTCTACAATGCATAATTAACTTGTAAGTGCGAGTTCTCAGTTGTCTTTACAGAAAGTTAAACTTTTCATCGAGTCAAAGAGTGTTATTTTAATTACTTACGATATCATTTAATCGTAGGTCGTTCTTTTATTTCGACTCTTGATTTATACAGATTTAACAACAAGCATATGGTATGAGGGATACACGTTCGGACCACAATAATAAACTTGAGATATATCATGACACAGGGAATATGTTGTGGCCACATAATTGTCTTTTTTTTTTTAAAGATTGTACAACTTCATATTCTTTGAAACAATACTCACCGCACCAAATGCCATTAAAACTAATCGATTAATTCATACACATAAAAATGTCTGCCATCGAACCAAAAGTAAATGAAATCCAATATTTCTATTTATAAATCATGAATTGGAATATTTCTATTTATAAAATTAAAATATGGATTTTCCCCAGATACTAGTATCTATTTTTAACAATCGAATAGAAAGTGACCATATATCTTTAAATAATTACAATGTAATAAACAGGTCGATTGTACTGAAATAGTATCTGTGTGACTCATAGTACAGCAAGTCAGCAAGACCACTAGCAGAATGTGCAAAGAACAATTAATAGATGTTCGAAATTAAATCAAAATAATATTGAACATTACTCAATTTATATTCAACCATTTCAGAAGATGTCAAATGGTGCAAATGCACAGGGACTCTGTTAGCAGGTATAATATTTTTAAGTCCTTGTAATTGCTTTTCCTATTTCCTGTCCATTTGTATTAAATTATTAAGTTTGGCACCTATATATATATATATAGGCACATTGGCACACAGATTTGTATTCATACTAGCAATGTGCAATATATATACATGTCCATATACATGATATATACACTGAGGTCCAGGATTATAATTTAATACGCCAGACGCGCGTTTCGTCTACAGAAGACTCATCAGTGTAAGTAGCAAGCCTCTATCAAGGAAATCATGATATGAAGTGCAAGCTCTGGAATATCGTGTCAATTGGGACATATTTGCTCCATATGAGGCGAGTTTGTAATATATCCAAAAAAAATCATTAAGTTTATTTATATGTTAAAGTTTAAACGTTATCATCAACTTAATATTTTGCTACTGTAATGCCAAAATACAAATGATTTCTCAGTCGTTCTGATTATTATATGTATTCTTAATCCAAGAGACTGCCTCGGTGGTCTCGTGGTAGCGTGTTTGCCTCGAGTGCGGGAGGTCGCTAAGCACGAGGCATTTAGGAGTAAGAGCAAAGACTGGTCGGCTCGGAGTCAGAATAATCTGTCCGGGTAAGGTGACATCATCTTCACCTTGTGAACTAGCACGTTAAACATCCGGGTCAGCGTGTCGGTTTAGTACAAAGCAGGGTTAATATTTATATTACATTAACATGTTTTCGTCCTGAATATGCATATTAATTTTCCGCTGGACATTAAGCATCCATATTACATCATCATCTTAATCTAAGAATTAGGATGTTAATAATAATAAAAACGAAAACATCTAATGAGTTACACTGTTGGCTTAAGTAAAAGTTCCAGGAAGATGTCAAAAATCATATCCGCGTATATATATATGGTATAGTAGTGTCCAGTCAGTATTAGCTGTTCTGGTGGAGGTTAAGGAAATTGTTAATAGCTAGTTTCTCGCTTAGTATGTGGAGGATGTCAACACGGGGAAGGAAGTTGGTGTATAGTTTCTATTGCGAGAACATGCATGCATATTGGAACGAACCAGCAGTAATTGTCTTAGAGAAACGCACTGGATTAAGTTTCGACGTTCTCGACTTATAATATGTATTGATGACTTTATTTCTGATATTTCCTTCTGTGTCTAGCTTTCATGGCTATTGTTTTGATTCCGGTTATGATTATCCAAAACCAAGATCCACATGTAATCATAAAATCGTTTCTCTGTTTGTTTAACTTCGACTTCCAAGTTGTCTCTCTTTCGAATCTTGCCTTGCTGATCTTTTTATCAATTTGAAGTTTCTCTCTATCTGTTATAGCTTTCAGAATATTAGGCATTAGTGAAAAAATGTTAAAACCGTCCTTTCAGGGCAATAACTCATATAAGCAGGAGACTAACAGTTTTGGTATAAATCAACAGAAGGTAGATCTCATTACTCTAAACATTTCGGGGCCTCGGTGGCCGAGTGGTCTAAGTAGTTACTACTGTAATCACTTGCCAGTCAACACTGAAGTTGTGAGTTCGAACCCCGCTCGTGCGGGTACACTCCACTCCAATCTTAATTGACTAGGATTGTCAGTTTTCCTATCGAAGGTCAGTGGTTTTCTCCGGGCACTCCGGCTTCCTCCACCAATAAAAACTGGCCGCCACGAAATAGCCCAAAAGCGGTGCTTAAAAGTGGCGTTAAAACACCAAAAATCAAATCAAAATCAAATCTAAACATTTCTGTCCTTGTCAGATTTTCTCTTTCTGTAGCGGTTTTCAAGATAATGTTGTTAATTTGCATAGTAAAACAAAATTTCTGTGGCATGGTTTAGAAGATACACATCATTTGTACTCTTGCAATTAACATTGCAAAATATGGTGTATTCCGTACCAGTGAAGTGACTGCTAAAAGTCTGGGTATTCAGTATTTGTTTGCAAGTCAGGCATCGTTTGTTCCCACAACACTTACAGGGCACACTGTCGAAGAACCTGATTGACAGGATAAATCAGCTCTCACCAGCAAGTTTAAAAGGCTTTTGGGCCTACGGAAAGCCAGTATAGGTGGCTCAGGGAAGATCTTGGATAGGTTAGGATGTTTTCGATTTTTTCCGATTTTCGCGGACAGAATAAGGTGTGATAACTTGTCAAATCTAAGATGATGAGTCAGCACAAACGTTACTCCTTTGTTGGCCCTTTTTTCTTTATATTGTAAAAGTTTATCTCGGCTATGTTGTCAGCATGAGAGAAACATCTATCAATGTCTTTTCTTCTGTAGCCCCGATTTTTTAGGATACCGCAAAGTTCTTGTATTAAATCGCCTTTTTGCAGTATAATTGGTGGAGCAAATCAGCTTTATTCGGATGGCCTGGCTGTAGGGAATGCTCTTGGTGCAATGTTTAGAATGACAACTCAGGAGAGGAAGATATTGATGTTTGTCTGTGGGCTTGCAATACAGATCTGTAAATATGGTTTAATCCTTCACTTTCGTATCAGTGTCAAGAAATGTTATCACAGAGTCACAGATTTCATAAGTGAATTCATGTCAGGTATGGGCGTCGTTGGCATGTTGAATGAACACATTGAATTATTGTTCAGTATTATCCCACTTCATGTCAATATCGGCGATGAATCAAAACCAAGAGAGAGTTTGATAAAGAGAATAATTGAGACTTTGCTGTTCTAATTTGCCCATAAAAAATATTAGCATAAGACGGAACCATCTTTGTTCTCATTGCTGTTCCATCAACATTGAGATAGTGCTCACCATTGAAAGTGAAGTTATTGCATTTCAATACCAAAGTTAGAAGTTGGACTTAACATGCAGTTGGTAGTTGTAAGGTGCTGCAAGGGTTCCAGACTTCCCTACAGGCTTCAATACCATCTTCATGGGGGGATGTTAGTATAGAGACAGGTAACGTCAAGCTAGACAAGGATTTTTTCAGGTGGGAGAGGGTTCAAGGATTCCATCTTCTTAAGATAGCGTGTTGTATCTTGTATTTAAGATGGTATATTTTCTACATGTGGTCTTAAATGAAAGTGAATGGTTACAGAATTTACTAGTATATTTAGTCCTATGTCAGTAATTTATGTCCCCAGCCTAGTTTTTCTAGGAATTTATGTGTATGTCATCAATATTCCTAGGTAAAAACGTCCGTGTCCTTTATTTTACCAGGCAAATGTGTAACAAAAGAAATCATTTAAATGTAAACGATGGAATTTTTAATTGTTAAATGTTTTAGTTGTACAGTAATATTTCACTATTTCAATAAAATATGGGTGTTTTTTTTAATAATTAAACATACTTTTTTCCATGAGAAAACAGATATCAAAGACGTTTATGATGTACATAATTACAAATATTCCTTTATTAATTTTAATATTGATCAATTAAAAAAGTGTCTAAAGAAATACAATTTTAAAGGGCCTTTTAGAAAAAATGAGAATACGGATATATAAAAATTTTCTTAGGAAAATAATTGCCAGACATATTTTACTACCTATGGACTAATTATGGAAAATTTATCCAGGGACTTGCATTCCTAGTAAAATTATGGTCACAGACTTGATTACCTAGGGAAAAAAGTCCGGCGCACAAATTTTACTACCGGACAGAATTTACTGTTACATATATAGCATACTTCTTTTACCACAGTATTGAGTTTCATGACCCGAAGCATTTAAATGTATATTTCTTAAATTACTTTTTTGAAATAAAGAAAACGAACAACGCTTATAAAAATATGGATTTTTCTCCATATAAGATTGTCCATCTGTAAATTACTAAAAGTAACAGCGTTGACTCATCACTCTCCAGTCAATCTCCACAATTTGGCATCACAAATACAGCACTTAGAACTTCAAGGAATTACTTTGTCCGTGTGTGTTTTTAGTTTTCCACTTATATGGTAAGAGATATATTATTGAAGTATTCTTAAACTTGCACAAGAAATGTACATTACTAGTCCAGTTAAATATTTATTGGAGTATTTTCACCGAGTATTGGGTATCAATTAAAGGCATATAACCATACACTTTGAAAAAATTGTTCAAACATTGATGTCTTTTTTCCTGGTGATTTCGACCGATTGATAATGATTTATGTTTTTTGCAGCTGTGACAAGGCTTCATTTCACATTGCACCTAAAAAGAAGAAAAAGCATTGTTTTAGTTTCTTAAATGATGTGAATAATATAATGTAAAATAAATATGACATTAAAATTGATACATTATATTTGAGGGCAGTGTATCATCGTATTATATCCTGGTTTTGTGGCATGCCAAACCTCCCGCTTTTATGGCAACGTCAAACTCAACACCAAAACTACAACATCACATGACAGGACCACAATACAAATAAATGGGAGAACATATAGGACAAAGAAACACACGAATAATAGCTAACAAAAGGTACTAGGCTTAAAATTCAATACACCAGACGTGCGTCTCGTCCACACAAGACCAACCAGTGACGCTCAGATGAAAAAAGTTTGAAAGCCAAAACAAGTACAAAGCTGAAGAGCACCGAGGACCAAAACTTCCAAAAAGTTGCGCCTAATACGGCCAGGGTTTTCTGCCTGGGACAAGAAAATCCTTATTATTTAGAATAATTTATAATTTTGCAAACAGTAAATTTTATAAAATGACTATATAATAGATATACATGATAAAACCGAAGTGGGGACT